CCCCAAACAAACCGCAGCCGAATCGATCTCAGACCACCAGCGCTCCGGGGGCAATTGCCAATTGCATTCATCAACATGACAGCTACTCGTCCGAGTCGAAATCGAAGTAGGAGTCGAAGTCGGAGTCCTCTTCTCCTTTCGCTCCTGCTCCTCTTTTGTGTGCTGCTGGTAAATTGACAGCCGCCGCTGCTCAATTTGAATGCAAACCACAAAATTGGATAATTTCCCAGTGACAATCCAGCAGCAGGGTCCTGTCCTGTACCCATCCCAGCCATTCCCTGATATATGCGCCCAGCAAAAAGTTTCCCAGGAGCGGAACACTTGCCGCTGGTGACCCCACAGAGTGCTCCACTCCATCCACGGCGAGCCGAATACAAAAGACAATGGGCGAAGGCTCTGGGTCTCAGCTCTCGGGTCTCGTATGCAAAATAAATTTCACTTCCGAAACTGAATCTCAATCCGGGGCCGAATGCGAATGCCAATGCGGAGAGTCCTGCTTCCAGCCGGTTGTTTCATGGCTTGTTTTACATATGTCCGCACCTAAGCAGAAGACACAAGACCACGACGGCGGATGGAGAGGCTCACCCACAGCCATGTCAGGCACACAGAAAAATCTTTAAATATATAACAGATTTGTAGAAGAGTTTATCGAGTATGTTTCCCAATAATTGGTTAAAGTAAATCAAAGGCAAAGTTTAAACCATTTTAATTAAACCTTAACTATTTATTTTATATAGAAAATATCATATTTTAAGAGTAGCTTTACCATTTCCAACTTAATTTTCTCCCTGTGCAGCATCATCTTCAAGCCCTCTCTGGGGGACACTCGACAATGGGCCAAATGGCTGCCTGGAAAAGGCAAAATTCAGGCTACTCGTAAATCCACATCGATTGCTTCGCCAGAAATCCATACTGAATTGATTGCATTTGGAGCAGGATCCATCGAGGGGGGGCTGGTTGGAGGTGAGGGTGGTGGTCCCTGCTCAAAATGTTGCAATTAATTTTTGCACAATGCTCTTTGTGCTATTTAGTTCTCGATTTTGCAGCATTATGGCAGCCGCCCGACTCTCCGGTTGCCTCGCTTAATTGCCCCCAAAAAAGATCGCTGACAAAGAGTTGGAAAACGAAACGAAAAAAAAAGATCGCTAAGAAACCCCAACCCAAACAGTAGCTCTCCAGAGGATACAACAACAAAAAATATATAAGCAGAGGACACAGAGGGACTCCTTTTGGGTTCTTGAGTTTATTTTGTGGCTGCTTTTTGGGGCCTTTGATTTGCATATATTTTGGTTTTAATTAGTTAACAAGCTGCTTTCGTTTGTTGCGATTGCATGTTGAACCACGACGCGTATCGTAGATGCTGCAGGTATCGCCCCAGCTGGCTCCGCTGACTCCTCCTGGCTTGGCATTGCATGCATAAGGAGCGGAGCAGCACTCCGGACAACAGCAACAGCTTCTCAGCTACAGCAACGTATAAAATCAAACACGATTTTTAGCAGTTTTCAATTCCCGGAAATCTTGTACGATATGTAGCACCATACAACTGTGGATTGTGCTGATTGTTGCTGCTGCTGCTGCTACGGCTGCCGTTCGGGGCAGTCTTTTTGCGCTATCCTCGGCCCAAAGAGCTGGCTCGAGAGCTCGCGCCCGATACGATTCCGATTCCGATTCGCCAGTATCGTGCAAATGTTTCATTATTTAACTGATTTTAGTTGGCCAGCCAGCCAGCGACAACAACAACGACGACAACGGGCCTATAACAGCTGGGCCAACGCAAAGGTAGCCAGAAGGAACGCCATAGCAGAGTGACCCCGACTATGAGATACCTAAGACTTCGGATACGTAATATATTGCGAACCAGAAGGAGGATTGCAGAATGTATTTCTTGGATAATACATATATTCAGTCCAAGAAATTATGTCTTTTAATTTTAAATGAAGAACTTAGGGCCCTAAATTAATGAAGTTGGATTTTTTAGACCAAGTTCTTATTTATATTATAACTATTTTGAAAACCCTTCCTGCCACAAAAACAACATACCCACTGGTTTACCCTCCATAAAATCCTGGTCCAATCTCAAGTTCAGGAATACCAAAAAAAATTCCAAGATGTTGTCATCAATTAAGCTGCCTCGTATGCAAGTGGAGAGCTGTTCACACCTGAGAGAACTTTATTTAGGCCGGGCCGTGGTCGAAAATGAATGCGTAAATTATGGTCTAGGTACGAAAGCAAATGGCGCTGGCCAATAAAATGCCAGATAAATCAAGTCGAAGGTGAAAATCAGCAGTTGGCGAGCGAAGTTTAGCGAATTCAGCAGAAATGAGCAGACGAGGAGACTTATTTGCATTCGCCCTGTTGTCAGCCAAGTTGTCGTCGCCGTCTCCTGGCCTCCTCCTCCTCCATCTTGGCATCCTGCTACTGACAGTCTGCTGGAAAATAAAGCAAAATAAGAGTCAAACATGAAAACTGTTGCCCACGAGTCTGGCGAGTACGCGGTAGAGCCATCCAGACCAGACAGCCTTTTGTTTCCATCTTGTTAAGGCCTGAACTTTATGCCAGCTCCAGAGCTCTGGAGCTCCAGAGTAACTAGTCGTCGTCCCCTCCTTGTCCCAGCTCTTTCTGGGGGTTATTGTTTCTGGCCAGGGGTCTCTGATGGCACAGTTCCAGGAACTTTTCAGGTGGCACAGCATGTTCGGGCCAGACACACTTTTGGTGGCCTCGTGCAGAAGGCATTGTGGGGGCCTTCAATTAAAATATATTTAAGAACAATTTGGTTAGAAAAGGATGCAGGAGGGGATAGGTGGATGTGCAGGAAAGAGTTTAGAGCTCTGTGGTTTGGTATTATAACTAAATTGTTAAAAAATATAAATAAATTCGAATGTATATTTCTTATTAGCCACCCTATATATGTTAGAACTTTCAGAAAAACCACAAGATTACAATCCACAAATTAATAAGTTATCTTTAATACATAAATAGAGCTTTTCTGGTTAAATTTATGGTCAACACCCTGCCTAGTTATTTTTTTGTTAATGTGATTTGCTCATTCTTTTCTCCATTTTTTGCGTTTTTTACTTTTTTTCCATGCGTTGACGGCTTTTCATCAAAGGAGTCACGATGAGGGCAACTGTGGCGCATACAAATGAATGGATCTGGCTCGATGAAGTCTGCGAAAATATATAAAAAACAGCTACAAAAAAATTTAATGTTGTTTGGGCATGTTTTATATGTCATTATATAATCAGCACAAGTCGCACAAATCGCTGAAAATTAAGCAGAAAGAACTAAGCTTCGTCCGCCGCTCTTTACTTATAATTTACAAAAGAATACAGTGTGGCTCATGGGGGTAAGATGACTTTAAAAACATTTCTTAAATTATGGTTTCTTTGAGAATTAACTATATAGATTTTATACAATCTTTATTGTATAATATTAAATTAATATATTTAAATTTAAACTCCATAAAAGTTATTCTAAGTTACTAAAATCCCAGATTGTTTTCATTTTTCATCCGCTTAATGCAATACCCATTTAGACTAATTATAAATAATAATTAATTACCTAAGAAACCGGCAAAGTCAAAAAGATTAAATCTCGTTGACAGTCTGTCATTAGATAAAATCTGTTTGCATTGAAGGCCAATCAACGAATCAGCAAAATAAATAATTAAACTGGAAATCGACGCAAATCGGCTTTCTTGTTTTACACTTACCTTTGGTGTTTTGTTTTAAGGCTATGAGCCGCACTGTTGACTTGGCTTTACGCTTTTATACGACATCTAAGCAGGGGCATATGCGTAATGTTCGTAAATGTTTTCAGCTTGTTTGAAGTTTGTTTATAGTTTTTGTATGAAAATTTACGAGCACGTCGTCGTTAGCCGCATTTTTTTCTTCTCTCTGTCTACTTTTTTCGTTTTTTGGAGATTCGCCTCGAGTTATGGCCGAATGTTTGGCTTGTGGCAAATGGCCGCGAAGAGAGATGCTTATCGCGGGCACTGTTAATACCCCGCATTTAAAAGTGTAATTAACGCAATTTGAAATATGAGGCGAGAGCAACAAAAAAAAAAACAAAAAAAAAACAAAAGACTCAGGCAACAAACTCGCCGTGCGTGGAGATTGAGGATGAGGACTTGGATTTGGTTACGAAAAGGAAGCAGGAAGCCCGGACATGGGACATGAGAGTATTTGATCGTGGCTGCTGACTCACACTCTCCCCCCAGACGGCTCGTGCTTGACACGTATTCCTGGAAGCCAGAGGCAAACCCCCACCAATTGCAGGTGCTATCCTCCGGTAGCAATGCCTTGATTCTGCACACAGAATTTCTAATTAGCCAAGGGCCTCAACGCTTTCCGATTTATGCGTTCTTAGGGCTGTCTGCATCTATCAATTGTTAACCTGCTACGTCTGCATTTGGGTGGCCGCCGGCCAGGCACTTGGCCTGCCTCTATAAATTACATTCGAACAAGTGTTTGGAATATTTGATGCTCGCATTCGCTGGACTCGCACTTGGTCGTTATTTATGAGATTCACTTAGAGTTTTGTAATGTTTTTATAATTTGTCTTTATTGGTTTTTCATTTATTATTTTTCGTTTTCTCGCTGTTTTGTTTGTATGCCTGGCTCGTTTTTCATTTGTTTTTTGGTTATTGTAGTTTAATTTGCATTGCTGTTTCATATTATAAATTATCATAATTAACTAGGTGAATGTTAATGAGTTGACGCGAAGCGGCGTGACAAGGCTTAAGGATCTCAATTGTGGCGTTTTCGTTTGGGAGAAACAACTCAACAATATCTTTTGCGTATTTTACAATCAATCTTGGAATTTCTTTAACTATGGCTTTCGCTGCTTAATTGTGTTTACATTCATATAGTTGTTATATAATATATATTTATAGTTTAAAACGTTTTTAATAGCTTTTTCTGTTGTTAATTTCCATATTTTCGCGTTTCAATTTTTCGCTAAGCAAAAGTTCCAATTAAAAATAAATAATTTGCAGTAAATTATATATTGTATACAAAAAGGATAAAAATAATATTTATGTATATAATAATCACACCAATAAACACTAAACATAAGACTAACTAAACGTGGACACGGCAACAGATTTGTAGAGGCAAAAGCGAAAGATTTCCATTGGAGATACTTGGTCGTACTAAATACACACGCTGTTGTCTTCGGGGTTGTGTGTGTTTGCGTGTGTGTGTGTTTTGGGTGTGTGGTAGTGGGGTCATAGATTAACTAACAAAACTTACAACGTACACAGAATTCATTTAAGCATCATCCCTTTGTGAGTCTACAAATTCGAGACAATCGAGCACCCAAACTCTGCACTGCGAAATTACACATAAACATACAAACAGACATACGTACAAACAGATCATCATCAAGGCATATAGTTATTTCTCGCTGTGTATTCTAGTTGTCTTTCTTAGTTTCCCTTTTTGAACTTGGAAACATTCTATCAACCGATCTACCCCAAATAGTTGGCTTATTGCTGGCTTTGCTCATTATTCATCACTCTGCAAATTATTATTAGTATATATGTGTATATATAGTTGTTCTGTGTGAGATAGTGCCTAAATGTGTGTGTGTGTGTGTGTATTGTGTGTATGTGTGTGTAGAGGGTAGGGAGGTTGTGTGTTCGTTATCTAACGACTTTGGCTTTTCGAATGTTGAATTAACCACTGCAGCGTTATGTCAATGTTGTCCTTCTCCTTACACGAAATACTATAACAGCAGATTTCACGGTCCTGTATGCTTGAAAGATTCCTAGAATAAAGGTTAATCGATTAGATAGAATTCAAGACTTGGAATTAAAACCACTTACATGCGTTCGATGAGCCCGGTTTCATCGAGGGCGCCTGGAAGATCACGTTTGTTGCCCAACACGAGCACTGGAATGCCGGCGAGCTGCGGTTTGTCCAACAGCGAATGCAGCTCGTTCCTCGAAGCCTCCAATTTGTCCAGATCGGCAGCATCCACCATGTAGCTAAAAAGAAATCATTTCAATAAATTAATTGGTGTCTCATTGTTGCCTCATTTATATATTAAAATGGCTTACACAATCGCATTAACACCGCGACAATAGCGCTCCCACATGGAGCGGAATCGGGGCTGGCCGCCAATATCCCACACCTTGATCGTCACATTGCCCCTGGTGATTTTGCGCATGTTGAAGCCAACTGTGGGTATCATGTCCTCGGCAAATTGGCCAGACTGGAAAGGTTAAGTTAACAAGGGATTAATATGGCATAAGAAATTTTAATAAATAAACCAGTTTGAAGATTTCTTTTTAATTTCCAAGGCTTTCATTCATAAGAAATTAAATATTTTGAAGCCTATTAACTTAAGCCCAAAAGTATGCACCTAAAATCTGCCAGCCCTGTATGTAAAAAATAAATGATAACTATTTAAATTCGCTCTTCTGCGTTAGTTAAATGTATATTTTTAACTGCCAACGACTAGACTGTTGATGCTAATTAATAATATATAATATTATGAGAAATTACTATATATATAATATATTATGAACTTTTACAAATAATAACAATCTAAAAGGATATAATAAATAGTAATAGTATAATAAATAGTAAAATGCATTTAATAAAACTACAAAAACGAGTAATATAAACATAAAAAATGCTTTAAGAAAACCAAGGGTTTATAGAATCAAGTAAATTTTGATAACGTTGAGATTATTCTTTACTAACAAACAGCCGATTTTAAACTATTTTTCTTTGGAAATTAGTTAGTTAGGAATAGTAATAATTAATTTAAAAAGTGTACCGAAATTAAATACATAATTTAAAGCTAAGTTTGGAATCCCAAATTTGAAAAAGAGGCAATTTGTTGGTTCTAAAGAAGTTCAGGTTCCCTTTCATAGTAAAAAACTGAAGTGTATCTTTAAGACTTCAACTAAAACTATAAAAAAAACAAACCCCTTATGGATAAACAAATTCCGCCAAGCTAAGACTAACCCTAAGCTCATAAGATATTAAACTCTACAAGTAAATGAATTTGTCCTTCGACAAATTTAAGATTAACCTTCATTCATAATGAAAACCAAGCACAATAATGACTAAATCCAAAACAAACAGCAGATTACACAGAGTTTTGTTCGGTTCACAAAAGGAGCCCAGCGATAAGCGGAGGAAAATTCCCAATTGCAGAGCACTTGAATAAACAAATTTTCTCGCTTAATCCCCTTGCATGTGGGAACATTTAAATCCAATTCGGATTCGTTGGCGGGCGGCAGCTCACATGACTCATAAGTCAAACGACTCCTCTCCTCCAGCTGCTGCTCCTCCGCCAGGGAAACCGCAGCATTAGACTCTGATTTCTGAGCTGGAAGCTACGGATCCCGACTTTATCAGCCTGCAGAAATGTGTGACAAAAGGAGGAGGAGACTCTTGGGTTCCGCGGTTTCAGTGAGGGGGGATTCACAGGGGTCGTTTTGCTGATAATGGCGTCATTGTTCGGAACATGCGTGGTTTTATTATTGATTGCCCAGCCGCAGAAACAGTAAACTTTGCCACTAAAACAAAACGGTTAGCATAGCGTTAATTATTGATGCAGTGAAAGAAAACAGATAAGAAACCAACAAAGGAAAGTCCGAAACAGCAAGGTGTTTCCTAGGGAGCTCCCTACCAAAACAATGGCCATACCATACCGCCTTTGTCAGCTAAGGTTTAGTATTACTTTTTACTGACTTTTAGTCATATTCCCCCGGCTTTCTCTCACCCCGCCTTCGCCTCGCCGCCCTGCCCCTAGCAAAACCACCCTCTCACCCATACACTTGTAGCAAAATTCGCACGCACACACACACACACACACCCACGAAGAAGTACTCACTGCAATAACATTGACGAACGTCGTTTTGCCCGAGAACTGCAGCCCCACCAGCGTCAGCTCCATCTCCTCTTTCCAGAAGATGCTCTTGAACCAGTCGAGGATCCTATTGATGAGGGCCAACATCCTGGGGTCTGGGCTTTGTTTTATTCGCGAAAAAAAACGTTTAAAACGAGCGATAAATGGCGTTGCCGTGAAAAAACAACTGATTAGTGTGACCCTATAAGAGTACCTAAAAATTACCTTAACTTGGCAGAAACGCATATATACGGTCTCATTTTTTACGACGTTCCTTGTGACTGGAAACCTTGGAAGAAGAAGAAAATAAACAAAATGGTAAGTGTGCCGAATTTTTAGCTAAATTTTAATAATAATGTCTAACATTTGTGCAATTTCAGGCGCGCAATGCAGAAAAGGCAATGTAAGTTACTCAGAGAAGCTAAAAAAATTAAAATGAAAGTACTTAATTTGCTCATTTTCGACAGGACAACTTTGGCACGTTGGCGGGCGGCCAAGGAAGTGGAATCCGGCGAAAAGGAACGCCGGCCGTATTTGGCCTCCGAATGCCACGATTTGCCAAGATGCGAAAAGTTTCGCCTGGAGATTATCCGTGAGATATCCAAAAAGGTGGCCCAGATACAAAATGGTACGTACTCGCCGCACACTTGCTTGACATCCGTATTAATGCTCGTTATTCCTTAGCTGGGTTGGGTGAATTCCGCATCCGAGATCTTAATGATGAAATCAACAAGCTGCTGCGTGAGAAGCGGCATTGGGAGAACCAGATCTCATCCTTGGGCGGTCCCCACTACAGACGCTATGGCCCCAAAATGTTCGATGCCGAAGGCCGCGAAGTTCCCGGCAACAGAGGCTACAAATACTTTGGCGCCGCCAAGGATTTGCCCGGCGTCCGTGAGCTCTTCGAACAGGATCCGCCACCGCCGCCTAGGAAATCTCGGGCCGAACTAATGAAGGATATAGATGCCGAGTACTATGGCTATCGTGACGACGAGGACGGTGTACTGATTCCCTTGGAGGAACGCATCGAACGAGCAGCCATCCTAAAAGCTGTTCAGGAATGGCGCGATAAAATGGCCAGGGATGGTCGTATTATTGATGATGAGGAGGAAGACGAGATTTACCCGCTGTCGGGACCTGCTCGCGAAGCTGCCGAGGATGCCAAGGCCCGCGCAGCCGTGGAAGATCCGCACGGCCTGTTGGCCCCCAAATTCACCGCCCACGTGCCTGTGCCCACGCAACAGGATGTACAGGAGGCGCTCCTCCGCAAGCGAAAGCAAGAACTCTTGGAAAAATATGGCGGAGGGGCCAACTGAACTTTAATAAAACAATCAAATTTTTGTAGTTTGATTCTTATTTTTCAGTTAAGAAACAATAATATTAATTCCATTTTAAACTAAAAATCGCTAAAGGTCTATAGTTATTCCAGAACATCCCAAGATCCTCTACCTTTCAGGTAGCAACATGTTTGATTAACAAAATTTCAAGGCACTCCAATGCGCTGTGGTCTCTTAAAACTACAAAAATGTATCGTTAGATGCAATTAGAAATCGAATCGATCAAAATTGCGGCCTCCACCCCCACCGCGTCCTCCACCGCCGCCGCCATAGCCGCGGCCGCCCCCTCTACCTCCAAAGCTTCCGCCGCCTTCGGCAGCCCGTTTCTCCTTCATGGCCTTGAAACGTCTGGCCATGTTGTGCAACTCGTCGGGCACCTCTTGATTAGCCTCTTCAAGGATTTCAATCAGCTCCTTGGCCATGGCCCAGTCCTCGCGGGTGATGAAGCTTATGGAGGTGCCTGTCCTGCCAGCGCGGCCTGTGCGTCCAACACGGTGGACATACTCCTCGATGTTGCGCGGAAAGTCGTAGTTGATGACATGACTAAAAAGAGCAATATAAACTTAAGTTAAGTTTGCTTTAAGGATATTTCGTAGGCTTACGTGATGTCCTCGATGTCCAGGCCACGCGAAGCCACATCTGTGGCCACCAGGATGTGCACGGCACCCGACTTGATATCGGCTATGGCCTGCTCCCGATCGCTCTGATCTCGATTGCCGTGAATGCACTGCGTCATGAATCCATCCAGCGTCAAATCACTAGACAAATCGTCGGCACGGGCCTTGCGCCCACAGAATATTATGATTTTGTCAGTCTTTGTCATTTGCCGGACGAAAGATTTGATTGTATTGAACTTGTCCATGTCGTTCTCCAAGAGTTGGATAACCTGCTTCACCGAGTGCGTGGCCGCCAAATCCAGTGACCCCACACACACCTGGATGGGATTTCTCATGTAGCTTTGGGCCATGCGGCGCACTCCCGGCGGCCAGGTAGCCGACGTCATGATGGTCTGGCGATCGGGACGAATGTCCAGCATCACCTTGCGGATCTGCGGCTCGAAGCCCATGTCCAGCATGCGGTCCGCCTCGTCGAGCACCAAATATGTGATGCTGCTTACATCGATCACGTTGGCCTGCACCAGATCATTGAGGCGTCCCGGGGTGCAGATGATGATCTCGGCGCCGCGCTCAACTTCTGAGATCTGCAGGCGACGATCGCCACCGCCATACACACAAACCCTGAAAATATGAAAAGGAAAAGTAAGATGGAAAGTTTGAATCCTTGAAAATTACAACTCACGCTTTCATGTTGCGGAAAGAGTACTTCTTCACCTCCATCTCGATCTGTAGAGCCAGCTCGCGTGTGGGTGCCAACACCAAGACATTGGCTCCACCCCTCGAACCCCTTGGAATGCTCTGGTATTCGGTGTGAATCATTCCCGGGAGCAAGAAGGCCAGCGTCTTGCCAGTGCCCGTTTGGGCTATGCCGATCATATCGTGACCCCCGAGAAGAATGGGCCATGCCTGCGACTGGATGGGCGATGGCTTCTCAAAGCCCTGTTTCCGGATCTCCCCCAGCAGATCGGGATATTCGGCAAAGCATTGATCGAAAGTCCACACTGGATTGGGAATGGGAGGCACAGTTTCTCCCTCCTTTGGTTCGAACACGTACGCCACAGTGATGTTATTGTTTTCTGCGCGAATGAGCTTGATCTCCGATTCCGAAAGATTCGCTACCTCTGGAGCCTCCTTGTAGAAGTTCTTCGTCAGTGCCGGCAACTTGGCCCAGCGAGCCGCTGAAGCAGCTTCCTGAAAGATAATTGAAATCAATTTCAACTTTTACGTCTCCTCAAGCTGTTCCAACTCACCGACGCCTTGTTTATAGCAGCCCAATCGATAGTGCCCGTAAGATCACCATGACCATCATCATTCCTCGGCGGTGCCGGATTAAAGTTGTAGTTGCTCTTGGGTGTATCATAGCTGCTCCTGCCGCCTCCTCCTCTGTTTCCGCCGTAGTTATTGTCCCGATCGCGTCCGCTGAATGCGTCGAAGCTGGTCAACTTGCGTACGTATTCTATGGCTTCGCTGACGTCCTTCTGGTCGTTGCCCGAGATCTTGACGAGCTCCTCACTTTTGTCCACATCAACGCGAACGTTGAAGTCGTCCTGGATACGGTTTATGGTCGATCCGCCCTTACCAATTACCTTTCCCATCATATTCGAGGAAACGCTCACAGAATCGCAGGACTTTCCACCATTGCGATCGGGGCGTCCTCCGCCGCCGTAGCTATCCCGTCGTCCCTCTTTGTAATCATCCCGGTTGTCACGTCTTCCTCCGCCGTACTCATCTCGGTTCTCGCGTCTTCCTCCACCGTAATCGTTTCGGTTGTCGCGTCTTCTTCCGCCGTAATCGTCACGGTTTTCGCGGCTTCCGTAGCTTTCACGTTTTCTGTCGCCTCCGATGCTGCGCTCGTATTTCTCGTTCATCGTCGAGTAGGCCTGGGCTGGCGGCGGCTCCACGTAATTTGGATCATCCCAATCGAGTTCCGACATGGCTCAGCGTTTTATTTTTTATTCGAGAAAAATGCAAGCACGTGAAAATTGCCGACTTTGCAAATATGTAGCTTTCAAACGGTAAAATTCCTTTGCGCGTGTTGGTATTGGTGTCGCAAAAAGACGCTGATCAGCGAAAATGTCACGCAATTTAAGAAAAGCTGCAAAACAGAGAGCAAATTTCGTCGTTTTTATTTATTTCTTATTAAGTTTACCTTACTTTGTCTGTTTTACTCCATTTTTTGGGCAGAAAGGAAGAAGAAATTAAACGAACCGCTAAGACGAAAAAAACATATATCGATATCTGTTTGTAAAAATGATATTTCTACTTTGCCCAAATATCGATATTCCGATTTTTTTCAAGTGCCACGAGAATGTATAAGTTTCTATTATCTGAAATATTATTACATCTGGAATATATATAAAATATTATCTGTATTATTATTAATTTATTGTAAACCTATAAAATACCAAATAACACAAATATCGATATAAGCCATTATATCGATGAGGCGCCAAATAGAAATGAAGGCAACAGGCTGGTCATACTGGACAGCAGGGATGCACAAATACAATATGAAATAGGTTTGCAGCACTATTCACCAGTTTGGCGGTTCCTTCGAAAAATTCAAAAGACATTTCATTTGTTTGATTACTTTTATAATTTCCGTTTACTTAACACACGGGTTACACTTTTCGCGTGTATCTTAGCCTACATGACTTACGACCTAATACAAATGAATCAAATCGCATTCATTATTCTCTCACGCGCGCTCGCTTCATATAAATAACTAAAACTAGAAAACACAAACACAAGCTTTCCTTATTTCAGGAAGTTACTAAATTATATGCAGTGTGTAGTGTAGGTGTAGGTGTGGGTGTGGCTATAGCGATTTGATAAAACTTAGAACAGTTTTGATAAGATCTTTGCTGTGTATATATGGCGGAGTTTTCCTTATTTGTTTCGGTAACGGGAAGTTTTTTGTGTGTGGCAAGTCAGCAGAAATAGTTGCAGTACATTTTGGATTTTCATTGTTCTATGTGAAGATTTTAATATAGTTTATGTGTGTATAGGTATAGTTAAGATTCGCTTACATACTATATTTAAACTAAATTAACATATACGAGGTGTTCTTTCTTCTCAAACAATTTTTTTGCAGTTGGTTGTTTTGGATTACTTTAGGTATTGTTTTGTTTTGTGTGTTGGTTTGTTGGTTCGAAGAAATACATTACAAAAGCTCTTAAAAGTACTGAAAATAGTGCAAGCTGCAATTGGTATTCCTCTTTCCTTGTTTTGTTATTTAGGTACGCTTGTATGTACAATTTGTGAATTTACATAATCCAAAAGGTGGCTCAGTGTTGGATGTTTGATATATCATTTGCATCACCTTAGTTTATAGGAAGTATCAGACCGTTTAAGCATTTATGATACGAATTGATATACTGTATGTCTCCCAGAAATGTAAGACAAGCCTCGATTAAAACTAGAGCCCATTTTACTTCTCTGTTTAAAACAATACAACATATCAATCCCATTCTTATCATGAATTTGGCCAAGGTCTGTACATTTTCTTTTTATTCACAGCTGCTTGGTGGCGGCTTCTCCTGGGGATTCTTCCTCAGTCCCTCGGATTACCCGCCAAATGGTTGCTCCTGCTTTCGGGCGCCTCTTCGCAGACGGGCGTGGCCGGTATGGAGATGCAGGACATGGACTTTGGGATGGGTGACGCGGGCGCATAGCTGGACTCCAGATTTAGCCTCAACTTGGCGGGCGAATTCCGCTTGAATAGGGCCAACTGCCGCGTGGGCGACAGCAGACTTGGCTTGCTGATTGCGCAGGATACGGATGAGCTGGTGGACAGCAGGGAGCATATTCCGCTGCTGCTGCTTGTGGAGCTTGGGGAATCTAGCTCCGAAATAGTAGATGCTGCCGCCGAAGTGCTGGGCGCCTCATCGTCGGGTGTTATGGGAGGTGAGGTCAGGCGCGAGGAGCAGTTACTGCCCGCCAGACTGCCGGCACCGCTATCCACGTCATCGTAGTCATAGACATCCTCGTCCATGGCCTCGCTGTCTGACTTGGACTTGCCGCGATTCCGCTCGCGCTTCTCTTCGATCTCCTCCTGCTCCGGCTGCTCCACCAGTTGACTAGATGATGATGGGTGGTTAAGACCCACCGAAGATACTCCACCCACGGATGGGGTACTGGGACTGTTGAGGTGCGGGGTAGCCGGTGCCAGGATGCCGCTTTTCCGCAGACTCTGCTCCAGCTCCAGCAGCTGGCCCATGAAGTTTAGATTGGGCGAGATGATCGGCCGGGCCACTTTCACCAGCTTGTAGGCCTCCAGCAGGGAGAGCGCCTTGTACCGCATGACGTAGGCGATGGCGATGGTGGCGCTGCGAGAGATCCCCGCGTGGCAGTGCAACAGCACCCGGGAACCCGTTTTCCGTGCATCCTCTGCAAAATAACAAGGAAAGATAATTGTTTTAGTTGGTTTTTTAAGGTTTGCAAAGTGGTTATTAGAGGGATGGTGTTTAAGATGAGTATGATTTCTAAATTATGATGTTTGTTTCCCAATTTGATACATTCTTAATATTATATTTCAGGAATTATGATTAATATAATTATTTAATTTCTCTCAAACACTTTGCCCACCGAGAAGTATGCAAAGCTCTTTTATGGGCCTTCCTTAGATTTAATTTAAACCTTTTCTAGTTATGATTTTCATGTTACCTCCATATTATAAAAAATATAAGATTTAATTTTCAACCTTCGACTGATTTTTGTTCTTGCCAATATTTATATTTTTCACTCTTCCTAGTGCTTCTTTTGTTTACTTTCTTGCTCTATCTAGCTATTTATATCTTAATTTTTTTTGTGGTCATCTCTGGCGAGGGAGAAACTTTTTTGAATTTTGAATGTCGAACGTGGAAGCTTCGATTGCCTGCTCTCCCTGTTGTTGTTGCTGCTGCTCGTTGTTGATATTGCCCTGTCGATAGTGCCCGTGTATGGGTGAGTTGTACTTGATTGCTCGCCGCCTCTCCCGCTCTCTCGCGCTGGCTCTCTCCCACCTCCGCCTCTGTCCCACTGTCGCCCGCTCTGCCGTCCTCGGCAACTCAACTGTGTGAATTTTGCTGGATGGATGAGTCATCACCATTGCCAGCAGCAGCAGCAGCAGCAACTGAGGCTTATTGACAGAACATTTTTATACCCTCGCACGCGCACACATACACACACTTATAATCGAGTGTGCACACTCGCACACACACACGTGGGACACATTAACTCATAATTTACGTTGTTATTTTTGGGCAAAGATAAGCAAGCAGCGGCAGGAGGAAGAGGAGGAAGAGAGCCCAGAAGAATCCGCAGCATACGGCGCACTTTTTTCCAAGGCTCACATAATCATATACAGTGGAAATTCAATAAATGAACTATATTTTGTAGCTTGTACAACAATGTATCTAATAATCACAGTTTAATATTTATCTTTATTTTAGATTGAATAATTTTAAGATCGCCTACAGATCCAAAGTTTTTGTCTAAAGACTTCAGAACCAATTCTTCTCGTAATATCATAACATATTTTTCCTTTCTCAGATACGCTTTTCAATCCTATAGAAGTTCAACTGTAGCCTTATTAAGCCACCACCGAAAAAAATGAAGCACTATCTTATCGCACAGGAATTGGCTGTGGTGTGATTTCGGTTTGGTGGTGGGCTGAACACACACAGTGGAACCCATGAGGTGGAGTGCTACGGGGGGATGGATGGACGGAAGGATGGATGGATGGGGCCGGTACAGCGTTTCCTAATCGATGCTTACTCATAAGGCAAACAAAGCAACACTTGTCTGATTTCCAAACAGTTGATAACCGAGGCCAGTCGGGCAGAAGCGAAGCCTTGTTGTTAGTCACCAGGCGCCCCAGTACCCGTAGTACCCCTTTCTACATTATATATAAATATATATGTGTGTGTAAATATACGGCCAAAGGAGGTGATATCAGCGATAAACTTGGAAGGCGCGTGGTGTAACCCACTCGCAATTGCAGCCATATTGACAGCCTAGCCTTCACTCCCCCTTTTTTTCCCAAACCCTTTTCAAGTGGAGCGATAGCGCCCGCTGTGTGTTTGATTTATCAATGAATGGGTGCAAAGTAGACAGCGATAAGGATGATGGTACCTTCTACCACCCGGCCCCACACAACTTTGATTTCACAAATTTCGACTACAATTATGAATTGCAGTTTACACACTACAACACAGTCAAGTGAAATCAAATCGAGTTAACGCTATCGATGTTCGGTATGACGATGATATGGCAACTATAACCGTGCCTTGGGGAAAAGCCATCATAAATAATCAACTACCAGTCGATGATAACCGATAAACGTTGAAAATGGAGGTTGTTGTTAGGTGCTAGAGCACCTAAAGTAAATACGTCAGAACCCCCAAATGGGTTCTTGCCTCAGAGAGACGAATACACTGGCCAAAAATCCCCCTCAGTGGGAAGCAATTTGTCAAGGTATTAAATCTTAAGAAGGGGCTTCACACGACCATTATACTAACACAGAAACTTTAAATCAGTGAAGATCGTAGAAGAAAGAAATAGCAAGACAAAGTATGCTCTCAAGTACCATTGTTTTAACTCAACCTACGAATTCTTTAAGATACCTGAACATTTCTCCGAGTGTCACAACTGGGGGAATCAAACGAAACAAATAAAGAGATGACCAATCTATAAGGCGGGCCAAAAATAGACCCACTGATCGGGGGGAGGCCAAAAGAGGCCGACGCCTAGATAAAGAAAGATGGTCATTAAGCGTACAATGGCAGACAATTGGTCACCGTCCTCGTCCCCGTCTCTTTTCCGTTCCGTTCCCCTGCCATTCCTTTCCATTCGCACGGCGCTCATAAATCCTCTTAGTTAATGACCCCGTCGCTCAGACAGTTAAAATCGCGCATAAAACGCGCCGTAAACGCGTCCGTCTCGAACACACCGCACACACCATATGATATGATACGATATGACATGACTCATATGCCTAGAAGAGGCCAAGAATACAGGAGGGGCAGTATAAGAAAGGAAGGGGCCCGGAGTTTCGCAAAAAGTCTCCCAAGAAGTAGCTGTTAATAATGAATGAATTTCGCAAAAGTCTAGTTTGAGTCACTCAGAAGTTGTACCAGTTCATTTAGCGCCAGTTTAGGCTCAAAATTGTGATTCTTGTTTGTTTTGGCATCTATATCCACTGTAAGAACTTAAGTTCTTAAGCTTGAAGTCTTAAAATTGTCATAACTGCGGTTTAAACTAATCCCAGCTTTCACCAGTTAACTTAACACCAGAAAGTCGTTCTCATCAAGCTAATCTTGTGTTAGGTTTTCGTTGCTTATAACAATTTTAATGAAACCGTTAATCATGGGTATATCTAGAAAGCCAACAATTATTTGTTTATTTGCTCGTCTGTTATTTTTGCATATTTCTGTGTGTGTTGTTTCGTTCAGAGAAAACGGAACTCGATGATAACTCTATGTTCGGAGAGGGAACTTTTGCTGGATTATTGGGAAGCAGAGCTTAGGTAATTGTTTATTGTTCGTGACAAATATGCGGCCATATATGTTGCGGCGGTGACTGCGGCTGAGACTAGTAATGGAAATGGAAATGTAAGTGAGGACGGAGGATTAGTAATCGCCAATACTTGCTATATTTATGACTAAACGGACCCAGTTCACCGGGGCGCACATTTTCCGGCGATGAGTGTGGATGAGTGATAGATCCCGAATCGTGTCTATAATGGGGCAGTCCACGATTCAACCATTTCACCACATAGGGCTACGCGTCGTGACTCCATTTAGGGGGCACGATGCGTAATGCCAACTTTGGGTAGTCACCTCCCCATCCCGGTACCACCGATGAATGGATGATTAAGTGCAACAGTAGCGATATTTTCTTTTTTTATTGTTGTCGTCGGGCCCCCGAATGCGTCATCTGGTGATTTGGGCTCAGAAGTGGGCCAAGTGGCAGACAACTGTCTGACAGCTGCGATGCGTTGGGATGGTATCGAATCGGAAGGCTATACGGGTGTATGGTGTTTCGGTGCAGTATCTCCGTCTGGCCAGAGTGTGATGACTGCCTGTCGCGCCGTTCTCGGTTCTTGTTCTCAATGTCCGATTGCCCAATGCATCATTTTCACTTTTTCACTTGATGATTAAGCCCTGGATCTTGGATCTCGACTCTCTCAGTTGTCGGTTCTCGGTTCCCGGACCCTAGGGTCAACTTTAAAGTGTCCCCGGGGGCGCGAAACTCTCGCAACTCCTCTGAGTCATGGCCAGAAACAGAAACGGCAACAGAATCGGAATCGAAAACAGAAACTGAAACTGAAATAACCACCGAGAGAGTACGTGGAACATGATATATGAATGAGAGTGCTTGTAAGTTCCACAGTAATGGTCAGGAGAGTAGTAACACAGGATCATGGAGATAAATAATGAAAAGGATCAAGAAATGAATGTTCTGCAGTCTTCGAAAAACCTAAGAAAATTTAAGGTATTGGAAAATTAGAAAGACTTTAGTATTGTAAATAGATCAAGCTGTATTCTCTCCTTTAAAAACTTCATTTAAACTAAACCGATACTATTTTCATGCTTCTAACTGTTTTTACCCCGGGGCATGCTGTCAAGCAACAACAAGTAGTTTTGTTTATTTTCAAAATATTTAATTACTTTCGGAGACCGACTGTTTATCATTAAGAATGCCCGCTTACTCATGCGTGTTTCTGATTCAGTCCGAGGCACTGACAGAGAGAAAGAGACGGGGAGAGTGTGAGTCTGAGTGCGGCAGGTGCCGCCAGGACACTTAAATGGCGATAAGACGCCGCTGAATCATTCGAAACAAAGAGAGAGGGATGAGAGCCGAGCACAGAGGTGGAGAAGTGGGTGAGAGGGGCTCTCAACTTGACCTTCAACTTGGCGAAGCTCGACTTTGACGTGTCGAGTCATGCGGAAACAACAAAAGCTCAAAAGGCAGCCTGGCCTGCACTTTGAAGTCGCCTTCAACTCAACGGATGGATCAGGGCTCTCCTCGAGTGATTCATAAAGAGCATGCGCAGCGTCAGAAACAACAAAAACAAGCAACAATCGCAATGTTTCATAAACAAATTGCGCGCAAAAAAAAGTAATCAGGAAAATACAAAGTGCGCGGGCGCTAAAGTCTTCAAAAGGGAGGCAATAATGAATAAGTACACTGGACATTATTTTGGCACCTTTTAAGAAATACAAAATTCAATCAAGAGAAAAAAGTGATATTTTAACATTGTCTAAAGATACAAATTTCTTCAGGTGTATAAAGAAAAAGAAGGAAGTGTGGACGTGAGCGTGGTTCCCTGTAAAATGATTAAGTGCTTTATAATTTCTCATTTCTCATGCGCCCGGCACGAAAAAAGAAAAAATAAATAAATAAATACAAAAAAGAAACCGAAGTCGCAACGCAAATTTCAAATTCGAAATTCCTGTGCGAAGATTTTCAGTTTATTTAGCTCGGTTGGTTTTTGCATTTTATAAATAGCCGGCTGACGAATATTGAAATTATGTGCACGGGGGCCAACAAAAATGTCACCTCGAGGTTTTTTGGTTCTTTCGGTTTTTGTTGTCTGCCAACGGATTTTCGATTACTCATTAGTCGCAGGACTGTTCGAGTTTTCTCTCTTGCACATACGTACACCTATCTACACAGGTACAGCAGCGGTCAAAATGATAAAGGCGAATTTTTGTATATAAAAAAATAGAAACATTTTAAAGGCATACATTTTTTTTAATATATAATTTTACTAAATGAAAACGAAACGGAATAACTATTGTACAAAATGCAAATTTTTAAACAAAACGTGCTAACCTTCTATTATATTAACCGCATCTGTGCTTGCTATATATTTGTACATATGCATTCATAGTTTTATCTAATCGGCCTTTCAACTGAATGTGTGTACTATATAGAATGGTATCACCAAATGTTCTCGAGGGGCCTCCGTTTTTCAGTTTACTTAGCTGCTTCTGTGCCTGTGTGTGCGCAACCCGTACCCGTACCGGTACCCCCAAACGTAACCCGTAACCGACGAGTATATTATATGCTCCCCGTATAGATTAAGTTAGTTTGTTAAAAAGGCCTTCTCCTCCGTAGCTGGCAGATAAAAGCTGATGGCCTGTTAACTGATAACGTGATAGCTTGGCGCACAAATAATAGGCTCTATATGGGTACAGTCAGCACAGACACCGAGGCGATAACTTGACAAATTGATTAGGCGGCGCGCAATTGATAAGAAAGGATCGAAAAAAACCGAGTTAGATAGATAGAGCCATTACAGTGAAAGTTCAAAGAGGAGTTATTCGAAATAAAACCAGAAAATTCCGTTTATTTACCTTGGTGGTTATTTTGTTGTTTCCTTGGCCTTATTTAAACAGCGAGCATATTTGTTTATGATTATGGCCTTCCTAAATTAGGTATTTATTTCTCTTTTAAATCCTACAATTTTTAAATGTTTACCAAAGCCAAAATACATTTTGGTCTTTTGGATTTTTTATCTTTGAATGTTTATTTTTATACATTTTATATTTTCAGTGGAGCCTTCAAGAACTTTAGTTATTTAATAGATAATCTCTTTTACTTAAAAAGTATGTACATGTACATAGGTTTTTGGACTTATTACTAAGTACTGATGATTTATTTATATTTATTTCTATGCACTTATTGATATCTTTTTTTTTTTATTTTGAAGTGAATCCAAGTGTGATACCGTTCGATTTCCTGACAATTGAGTCTTTGATTGCTTTCTAGGCCAAGTGGCTTTGGCCAGAGTTTATCATTCATGTTAATGACACAGCATAATGACATTAGCATTATCCGACAACTACAACAACCTCGAACTCTGCCGCCGCCTAATGAGCCTCTGCCGCTGCTGCGGCCTCTGCCGGCGTTGAGCTCATTTCAAGCTTTGCTTCACATAGCGGTGCTTCCTCCTTGCCCCCATCCCTCTGCCACCCAACCCACCCGCTCACACAAAGTGCTGTTATGATGAATGGAAACGAAACGCAGCGCAACACAACAATGAGAAATCATAAGAAGAAGTAGCATAATACAGGCGAAATAAAACAATAATAATAGGCATAAGGTGACGACGGCAAACCAAAAACGAATGCGCAAAAGGCACAGCAAACACAAACCGAGAAATGAAATCATGACTCATGCACTCAGTACGAAATACATATACTTTTCTCCTCCTCCGACTTTACTCCTCCTCTCCGTTACTCCGTGCCTGAGTACCCTGCCAACCATTTGGCGATTCTCGAATCGCCGGTCGCCAGAAAGAGTCTTCTGGGAGTCGCTTTGGCGATTGCTGGAGGACTTATTTACGAAAATCGCCAAGAAGAGTCTTCTGCGAGTCGCGGTGGCGATCATTGGTTAAATAACTTTCGGGAATCCCGAAGAAGAGTCTTCTGGGAATCGCGGTGGCGATTGCTGGAGGACTTATTTACGAAAATCCCCAAGAAGAGTCTCCTGGGAGTCGCGTTGGCGATCACTGGTGAAATAATTTTTAGGAATCCCGAAGAAGAGTCTTCTGGGAATCGCGGTGGCGATTGCTGGAGGACTTACTTACGAAAATCCCCAAGAAGAGTCTTCTGAGAGTCGTGGTGGCGATTATTTGGCGACTCTTAAAGCAGCGTTAAAAACTAGGAAATGAAGGAATCAGGGATTAAAGTACCGTACATAGATGCAAAGCAGAGAATGCGTCCAAAAGCAAAAGAGTTTTACAAAAACAAATTGCATTACATTTGAGTGAGAATAGGAGTGCCAACCGAACGTCTTTCAATATTTCTATGTTCATTTAGTTTGACTTCGTTCTTTTGTCTTTACGGTCGATCTGTATTTTAATTCTTCGGTTAACGATTTTTGTTTTATTAATTTGTTTTTGTTTTATATTATTTTCAACTAAAATGAGTTCATCATCGAGGCAATTGAATATCGTAGTAATCGCGAAGCAAAGCGATCCCAAAAACGTTTTAAATTTAATGAAACTTCCGAAACAGGACAACAAGAAACATGTAAAACAAATGAAATAAGTGAAAGAAGTGAAACAAATATTAAAACTTTTGTTATTAGTTGTGCAGAAAATTATAGCGTTGAAAGCTATGATTCATTGGCACCCTTACTATCTGACGAAGAGACGATGGAATAAGTGGTATGGATTAACTTTATCTTTCTTTTTTATTTATCTAAGAGTACCAAACTAAATATATATATTTTTGTTTCAGAAAAACAAACTGCAACAAATATGTGGGAGCGATGTGCGAACATTTGTACGGAACTCATTAAAGTTATACTAAGGTATTATTGAAAATAGTATAATAAATAAATAAAAATAATTTAATTTTAATTTTCTTTTGTATAGGTGTTGGTTAACGAAAGTTCCCGAATTCTTACGAACAAGATATGAACAAAATTTATCAGCAACCCCTGGTTGGAAACAAAATAAATATGTTAAATTTAAGATGATGTAAATGTAATAAAGAAAATTATGAAGTTATATAATTAAAAAAAAATAAATTAATTTAAAAAACTCTTATACTCTCTTAAGGCGACACTTCCGCGACTCTTTCACAAGACTCTTCCGCGACTCTTCCACAAGACTCTTCCGCGACTCTTCCAGAAGACTCTTCCGCGAGTCTTCCAAAAGACTCCTCTGGGACTCCTTCAGAAGAGCCCCCCGCGACTCCCTTAGAAGAGTCGCATTCTTAGGTACACTTTCTCCCAACAGAAGATCGGAAAGCGATCAGAATGCGATGTCGCGGGCGATCAAATTAATCTTCTAGAAGAGTCGCAGGCGACTCTTCCGCGATTGAAATGGTTGGCTGGGTACTAATGTGTTTCTGTGCGGGTGTGAGTGAGCGCGAGGGAGAAGGGGAGAGCGTTTATAAAAATAATACTTGAGGTGAAGGGAGATGGGGAGCGGAGGTAACTGTAGTGGGTGGTGGAAGAGAAAAGAGACGAGCAAAAAGGAAGCTACTGATCTGACAGATGCAACAAAAGGAATACGAAACAGAATAAAAGAGAGGGGCACAGATCCATACAAAGCAGCTGTTGCTCACGCACCTGACATCCGCACCAACACTCGAGGCCGCACGCACAAGGATAACCCACAAAACAAAAAAAATATACAACGATGACTCATGAACAGGAACCGAAAATGTTTACAAAAATAGAACATATGCCAAAAAGAAACGCGCAGCGACCGACTGAGTGAGAGAAGAGAGGGGTGAAATGTGCCGTTGGCGGCGTAATAAATAGCAACAATAAGAAGCCAGCAGAAAAATCGATGCTGCTTTCCCGCTTACCCTCCCACAACCGCCTCCCACTCTCGCGCCGTCTCGCTCTCTGTGTTCCACATTGCATTGTGAACGAACAAAACGGAATGGCGATGACTCATCGCCGTGCCACAGTGGTGGCCGAAAAATGTTTAACAGTCGCGGCAGGCGCGCAGGAATCGAAGCGAGGCCGAGGACACAACCCTTATCAGAAAGGACGTTTGCGGTTGGTTAGAGTTTTGTTGTTCTCGTTTGCTGCCCGGGCAATCTGCATAAAGTCTCCATTACCAGGGCAAACTTGTGTGCACCGCGAAAACTAAAGGCCAATTACTACATTTAATTTAGATTCTTGAGCTCAAACAAAAATTTTTACCAATTAAAATAAAATGTTGAAACTAAACTGTGTATTATTTTACTATTTTGTTTATAAGGCACAATATCCGAAGCCTTTGAACCAAAAATGTCTGCCGGAAATTTTTAAATAAAAAATATTCTTCCTTTGAAGAATATCAAACTTCAAATTGAAGTTTCCTTCTAATTACGATTAAATCCTTCTAATATATGTAATTAGTTTTTGTTCAGTGCGCCGAAGCCGAAGTCGCAACACAGTAACGGCACTAAAAGGCAGCAAAAGCAACGACAACGCTGCCGCCATGCTGTCTGCCAGAGCCAGCACGCAACAGCAACAGCAATGCGGCGGCAAATGGACGAGAAGGAGACAGAAGGAACGTGGATAAGCGTAGGAGCAGCAACAATAGCAATGAAGAGGAAGAAGGAAGGAGCAATGCTCCCAAACCCTCACACCCTAATTGCTTCTACGGGCGAGGTTTGATAGTCTGCTTAAAATCCCCTAGGGATTAGGGATTAAACAATAGAGCATTTTTAATGAATTCTTTAAAATATTAAAAATAGAACAGAAGAGTTTTAAATAAGTATTATGAGAAATACTATCTCTAGTTTAATAAAAAGATGAATATTAATTCTTTAATTTCTTTTCCTAATGTGTTAAGTACTCTTTATTTTGTGACAAACATTGTTTACTATTAATTTTATCTTAGTTGTATAATATTAAATATTAAAACTGTTTACTCATTTCATTCTGTTTTATCAAAGTCTTATAAATAAAATCATAAAAGCCTATTTATTAATCTGCTGTAAACATTTGTAAAATTTCACAAGATTCTACGAATACATAATGTCCTAATAAAATGGAATGAATAGTATCGTAAATATATTTGTATGTACTTCTTATTTGTCATCCTTTCTTATCTCGTTTAGAAAATAAAAATAAAAAACATTTTTATTTGAAAGTACAAAAATATTTTTGTTTACTTTAAAATGATGTTGATAAGAATAAAAAAGGGTAACATAAAAGTTGTATTTATATAGATATTTAAAAATTAAGCATTTTAATTGAATATTTTGAAGTCCCAAATCCAATTTGGCCTTATACCAGCTTATTCTTACTAGAAACCCCTTTTTGGGTCAAAGACATTTAAAATGAAATGAAATTTTTTGGGAAACCAAATCTTATACGTGATAGATCTCAATTCTAACAAAAAGACACTACCGTGTAGAACAAAGAATACCACTTTTCAAGAGACACCTATTTTGGAGGTCGCCAAAACCGCCCACTCGGGTTTTCTCGCGCGCTTGTTTTAAATGAAATATTTGCACTACTTAAACCAGAGACGCTAAAAAAAACACTAATAATACTGCTCGTGCACACGTGCCGAGATATTAGCTGCTGGTTATAAAAAAAAAGTACAAAACAAAAATACTTGATGAACAGCTTTAGACATAGAAAATGGAAATGGAAAAATGCGATTGACGTCAGCATTATATTCCACGGCTAAAGCTATAGCCCTCAACGCACGTCTCGTTCCTCGTTCTTCTTCTAGTCGCCCGTGTGTACATATTATTATTTTCATTTAAAATTAACAAAAGTATAGTGTGTTTGCTTGTGTGGGAAAAGCGCTGAAGGCAGCACAAAATACCAAGAGCACAAAGCCCAAAAATAGGGGCAAACAAAAAAGTCAATAACGAATTTTCCAGCCACACGAAAGAAAGGGAAGTGGAAGCCAGACCAAAGCAAAGCCGTTATGCAAAAAAATCACAAATGACCGCTGAAAAAGCCCGCCGCCAGGCATCCAATAACAAGTCACGTTTAGCAATCGCCAATCGCAAATCGTAACCAAAGATGATGACTAAGCGTAACTCGGATTCGGATTCTCAGACTCAGTTCGGGGAGCCCTAGCTTCCACAGAATTTCGTATTATTATTATTACTTTTTCCAAGCGAAAACAAGATAATTTTGTCTAGCCTAATCTCTGGCAAATATTTGGGAAATTTCACCACGATTGGGAGACATTCCTCTCTATTTGACAACTGCGAAATGTTCGTAGTTTGTCATACACTCGGAATTTTTCAGATGAAAACCTATCCTTATCTTATTTTAGTAGTTGAATATTGCTTTAGATTTATCTTTAATCTTTCCAAGAAATTTCCAAGTATCTCGATAAAGTAATAAGGGTTTAATATTTAATTTAATGTACCGAAATATTACCAATTATTGGCTTTATAATCCAATTATATTTAAGAATTTCCTCTAGTAAGTATTTTCTTAATTGGTTAAGGATGTGATATCATCACTATTGACCATATAATATCCAATGAAATTGCTATGATGGTGATGGAATGATTGAGGAAATACGCAGTTTAAAATTGATTTAGCTGCGATGTATTATGATATATTCTTTGGACACTCACCGATAAAGTCGAAGGCCTCCTGGAAGTACTGCTTGATGTTTTGATGGGGCGTATCGCTGGCAGGTATTTGCATATACTTGAGGCCCTGCAGATGACTCTCGTTGGGACTTTGGCAGGTAACGTTCAGCACACAGTTGGCGCCCACGCTGCTGGGATCGTCGGCATCCCGGCCATTGCCCAGTAATAGATGCGGGAAAACGGGCGAGGCGGGATGTGTTTCTATATCTGCAAGATACATGCGGATTGGATCATTAGTTTTTATGAGTAAATAATGGAAAAGTTCTGGCCCATTGTCGGATTGCGATCTTTCTTTATTTTTTTCCATCTATCTGTATCTCTCTTGGGGCGGAGGTTTAGGTGGAAGTTTGCCAATTCGCGATGTCATGCAACAAAAGAGTCTGGCCTGGCCTGGCAGATGATGATCATCATCGCCTGGCCCTGTTTTCTGTATCTGTATCTATTGTTGTGTACAATGTCTAAATTTTGCTACAACAAATTGTTTATTTTTTCTCCCCTCCGCAGGCGTTTTCGTTTCGTTTCGATTCGTCTGCTGGGGCTCTACGCGACTCTGTGGCTGTTGCATGAGTCATGCCACACACAGAGGCATACGGAATAGTATAGTCTCAGTTCAGTTCGGTTCAGTTGGGTTCAGTTTTATTGGCAGTGGGCGAAGTCAAAGGGAGGGACGTCCAGAGGGGCTGGGGTGGCTTCACGTTGCCTCATGGCCGAGTTCCCCGAGTTCGTAGCACTCTCAATGAGCCGCGCAATTGTTTCTGCTTCCCTCTCTATGTGTGTGTATATCTATAATTGTGCACTGTCCAACAACACTCCCAAAAAAGCACTAAACAAAAGCTAATTTAACTATTTTCTATGGTTGATGAAATGGGGGCGCCCAAAATAAAAAAGATTGTGAAGAAATGGGCCTAAGAATGGAAGTATTCTATTAGATTTTGGATGAAAATGTTTGTTCTAAATAAATCGCAAAACAAATCCAGCTTTTATTATTGCTTGGCATGTAACTTCAAAAAAATTATTCTTAGAGTGTATTGCTTAGATTGAATAGCAAGTCCCAGGGCCCAGCATATGCCCTGCGGTTTTAGCCATATCCACCCTCCCACCCCTTCTCCTGCTTCATCGATTATTTGTCATTGGCTTGCGTGTTAATTGATAGCACACAGAGCCATGGCAACTCGACGTCGTGTATTTATATATATTTTTTGGGCCGACTGCACTTTGTGGGTCACACGGAAATCACTTGCATTAGTCATCGACGATCGCCGTGGTGGGAACACACGTTGGAACCTTACACGTAAAGATGATTGTCATTGCGGCATTTACGCAAGCCAACACTGATAGTACAAATAGTACTATATATGTACATATATGCATATGTATATTACGAATGCAATTAACGGATTTCATAAATATTTCCACAGTGACTCAGTTGGCATTTGGGTAAACAGGAATCGCGAGTGTCTACTAACAAATATTGTAATGGAAGGTGGTGATAGAGTCGCCGTAGCTATACAGTAATTATTTGCTAATTAGTCTTCTCAAGGGTATTGCCAATTTACACATAAATTATTATTTTTTGGGGTTTCCTTTGATATTGCATTGACCTTATGACTAGCTTTGGGTGACGAACTTTTAATGGAGTTGAAGTGAGTCATGTAGGCCTAAGTACTATTTCGTATACTTGCAAATATATTTCAAGTAACACATATACTTAATATTTTTTTATAAAATAATAAATATAAAAAATAAATAAATATAAGGAAACAACTATACTGATTACTGCAATCTATAAGGTTCAATTCACTCTGATTTGTTTAAGATAGACCTTAGAAATAAAGTGCTTTAAATTGATTAGGCGTCCCTTAAAATGCTGAGCTATTTATAAATTGTAATAGATCCGCTTAACCATATAGGAAGACTCGAAACCAATATCACGGTGTGATCACAAGTCTGTCAGGTGGAAAAAAGACTCAAGCCGAGAGATTAACTACTCGCCTCAGACTCAGACTCAACGTCAGTGGGTAAATATGAGTAATATGCAAAAGTTCGCCCCGAGAGTTTGACATTGAAAATTTCACTGTATTACACCCGCTGTTGTTGTTATTACTCTGTTGCTGGCTTTGTTTTTATTGTTTTGCATGTGTTTCCCTGCTCTTCGCATACTTTTCATACACATGTATACAGACAGAGATACATTCGCTCGATTTCGTAACGTGCAAAAATAAGCGCGAGCGATTTATCTCACAGCACGTGCCGAAGCAAAAACAAAATTGTTTGTTTTTAATGTTAAAGCCGAGCTCAGACGAATGCGGTGAGCAGAGGGCGAAATGACGGAAAAGAATTGTACGACAATTTGAGACAATTTATCGCCATGTATTACTATCAAAAGGGGGGAAAGGGGAAAGAACTTAGGCCGAGTAGGAAATGAAATGCAATGATAAGCACAAACAGCACTCTACATGCAGCAATGCAACAGCAGAGCGAACAATCGAGAGATTGCTCGATCTGGTATAGATATGGTGTCGCTTCGGTTCCGTTCTCGATCGGAATAGTGAACTCATGTAAATGGGTTGATAAAAAAGCAAGACTAACCGTTCTTGGTATGCAACATTTTATGAATCATGACCAAATATCATTAAACCTATATTTCCGGTTAACACCAAAAATGACAGATTTAACAATTATTTTTAAAATATTTTTCTAAAATCAAAAATCAGATCAAAAAATTTCTCGGAATTGCACATTAAATTTCCTATTTATATACAATGTATTAAAATTTTCCATGAATTTCATCTTTTTAAAATTTCTTATGCATTACCTCATTGTTTTAAAAATGCAAATCATATATTCAGTTTGCTACTGCAGAATATTAATAGAAAACAAACCTAACTTGGTGATAAACCAATCAATTTAATGATCATATCTCTTGCAATTTGAAAGCTATCCCCTTTCCTAGTTCGAATAAAGATGGTTAGCTCACCAGATTCCAAAATACACATTAATATATTCGGAATTCCCAAAAATATTTGCCTTTCCTTTGTGATAACTCTAATGCTTTTGCAGACACAACCGCGAATCTTGGCCAAACTGAGTCAGAGACCTTTTGTGAAACCCGTCTAGAGATCGCATAGCTTCGGCGGTGGGTTCCCCATTTCATTTCATGTGGCTTTCACTTACCGTAGACCGCCGGACTGGAGCAGCTGCGGGTCAGCAGCGGCGTCCGTCCGCCGCTGCCGTTCATTGCCATGGAGGATGACGTCGTCGATGTCACTTGCTGCTGCTCGTCACATGCCAGATTCTCCCTGGACCGCTTGTTGGGATAGTCCTTCTGATTGGCTGCAAAAACAGAGACACACACAGAAAACATGCGTTAATACGGCGATTTAAAAACTGATTATAATTGGCGGTTAGCGATTTGTTTCGTTTTATATACCCCATGATGTCAGCAGTGCGAAAAACTTGTCGCGCCAGGTCCGCTCGAATAAACCGCAAAAATGTTTCGCTTCAGCTTCGATTGCCGCCGCCTGCCAGAACTGACGTAAGACATTTATTTCGGCTCTGGGAGTTTGTTGCCTGATTAGCAGCGGTACGAATGCAGAGCCAAAGTTTTCCACATTCACCGCAGCCAAGTCGAAACTTAATAACTCGCTTATCACAATGAGCGGGCACAATTAGAAAACGCGTTGTAAGCGCAAATACTAATTTGAGTTGATAAAACGTAAACAAAATGTAATAAAGAGCAGAATTGCATTTAAAACAATCATTTTTGTAGGGTTTTTAATGTACTTTTAAAATTTTTGGGATTACAACTGATCACTTTTGTGGACTTGACATTTTTTTTCTCAATATTATACCATTTGTATTTATAATTCAGCGTGTAAAATTTAAGCTTTTCCTTAACCTCCTTTCATACTTTGATTGAAATTCAAGACCCAGTGTATCTACTAGTATGTGATAAGATAAGTTGCAATATTTTGTGCTATTTTTGAGCTACTTCTCTCTGTGTGTGAAAGGGGTCTTAGGAGGTTGAAGGTCTGGTCTTTATCAGCTGCTGTACGCGTCGAACATAGTGTCTTTTTATGCTGGCAGGGGAAAAGCCGAGGCGCAAAGCAAAACAACTTTGAGTGAACTACGGGGGAACTAATTCGCTGTTATCAGCCGCCAGGCGACCTCAAAAGCCAAAAAACAACACAGAAAAAAGCAACAGCCACAAAAAAATACAACCAACTTTTCACCGCGGGCAGGAAACGTTGGCTCAATTATTTTGTTTCTTTTTTTTTCGCTAGTAAAACAAGTAAAATCGCATGCCAATAGTGCATTGCACACGCACAGGGGCGGCGGAGGTCTGGAGTGTGTGGGTTTCAAAGGGGTTTTCTTGGGACTTGAAGAGTAACAACAGAAAATGGAAAGGGGGAAGTGTGAATTAATATGCAGCCTTGTTTTCCTAAAAACAAGTTATCAGTCTGGTTTCTGTTTTCCTGTCGTTGTTTTCAAAACAATTTCAGGATCTTATGAGGTATTGTTTGCGATACAAATTCTTATTTTTTTGTTTAGTTTTTTACTGAAGGAGGTGAAGTTTTAACCCCTTCTATTTACTGACCATTAGGCCCCTGTCCCTGCCACCACACTGCAACTCTCTCTCCGCGCGTCTCGCTCTCTCTACCAACTCCAATTCGCTTCAAGTTGTTGCTGAGGCTGTTGCTTTTTCTCCCTCTCTCTCCCCATCCCTGTGCTTCTCCTTCTCCCTTCCTCTTGGGCTCGCTTCTTGTTACTGCTGTTGCTTTTGCTGTTATTATTTTTGTTGTGCCGATGAATTCGTACTCGAAAGGTCGTTTCAAAGCGGGTTTTCAGTTTTCAGTTGGATTTTTTTCAGCGTTGCCAGGCCGCTTCGGAAACCTGCTTTGCTTTACATTTTTTGTCTTGTGTTTTTATTTGTACTCGTATTTTGTTGGACGAAACGCTTCTTTGCTTTTATTTTTTAAAGACACGCGAATTGTGAGTCACGAATGGAGCAAAAAGTAACTGACTCTGATCTCTCTCCTTCTCTTCTTTATTTTTTTTGTGAAATGGAGACGCTTACGTGTGTCGTCCCCTCTCTTTCCCCCGCCCAAAAGTAAACAGGCAGCATGCCAAGCGGTAAATGCTCGCGGGGGAGAGAGCGGGAGCGAGCTATTCGTTCTCTCTTGATTGGTTTAAGTGTAATCTTAATTTGTATTTTACTTGATACGCTATTGCGTTGTTTTTGTACTCACCACCAATGCGATTGTTGTTGTTGGTATTTTGGATTGGCATAAATAACAGAAGACACGGCGCTTCTCGCTTTATCCGCATTTTCATTTCACTTTTATGACTCACGCTGTTGCTGTCGCCGTCGCACTCACAGCAATTGTTGTTGCGTGTTGTTGACGTTGCCGTTGTAGCACAAACACACGGACGCACACACACGAGCACGAAAAACTGTTTTAAAATTGATATTTTGCCCGTATAATCTACTATTCCTATGATTTTCGGTAGGAGGCTTTATTAGATAATCCCCGTGCCACTTGTTGAGCCACTTCCCGTTATAATTTGGGTGTTGTGTGTGTGTTGCAACCAGAAATCGAGTTTTATTTCCACTTGTAGCGCGCTCACACTTGTTTTAAAATATTCGTTGGCCAAAAACGCGCGTTTTATTAATTTCTGGGTATCCAAAGCGAAGCGTTCTTGAGTGAAATGTGTTTATATCCAATTAGCAGTGTTTTTACATCTTCAACTCTTAACGCCGCAGTAGGGTTTATAATTAATTAATTAATTATTCCTGTTCGTTAGTTTAATTTTTCAAGTTCTTTGGGTATTTGCGGCGGCTCAGAACCACGAATATTTGTCGCACGTTTCACGATTCAGGTGCTATCCCAGTGGGCGACACAACCACCCCGTTGAGTACAATTTTTGAAACTAACTGATACTAAGTTGATAATAAATAATATTAAAACATCTGAAATCGTGCAATTTTGTTGCCCAAATACCGAAATCGCGATATTTTTACTTGATAATTTTTTATATTTTCTCCTTGGTCACTCTGAATTTCAAAGTAAATGTCAAAACAAAGTTTTACATGCTTGGGGTCGAATTCTTGTTTTTGGGGTCGAATTCTCATGTAGAATGTCAAATGTATGTATATCAATATATCAATATTTTTTCCTGAAAATGATATCGAAATCGCGATATTTTCCTTGATATTTTTTTATATTTCCTCCCTGGTCACTCTGAACCAAAGCAAAATGTCAATTTACATGCTTGGGGTCGAATTCTCGTGTAGAATGTCAAATGTAAGGATATCAATATATCGATATTTTTTCTGAATATGATATCGAAATCGCGTTTTTTGTATTTGGTATTTTTTGGTATTTTCTCCTTGGTCACTCTGAATTTCAAAGTAAAATGTCAAAACAAAGTTTTACCGACGATCTGGTACTTTTGGACGCTGGGACCGAAAGTACCAGATCGCGCGAACAGTGCTGCCAGACTTTTAAGCTTCTGGTTAGCGAAGGCGCAAACCATAAATTTGTACAAGTTTTTTAAATTTATTTTTTAATAATAAAATAAAAAAAAAAAAAAAAATAAAATAAAATAAAAATTACCATAAATCCGGATTTTTTTTTCCGAATTTTTTTTTTAGGAAATATTAAATCTTGAATAGGATAGAAATGTATTTATTTTATATAATTTTATAATTTTTAAAAAAGATTTTAAATATTCCTGAGTCTTTCAGATTATCCCGTTTTCAATGACTTTTCTTAATTGTCAATATCGTGCGGAGTGGGTGGCTTCCATCCCCCAAATGCTCTCTCCAACTCCACGGCCATTCGAAGGCACAATCGATCCTGATTTGGTGCCGCAACCACGGAAAATCCTATGGGGAGTCCCCGCTCATTCAGACCAATTGGCACATGAGTGACGGGCAGTCCAAGTACGTTGAAGATCAGTGTATAGTCGACGCCCCAGAGTGAAAATATGGACCACTTGTGCCTTGGAGCAGGTAAGTTTAAGGTGGGAAAGAGCAACACTCCGTTATCCCCGAGAAGATCCTTTAATGAAATGAAAAAACGAGAATATTAATTTCCAGTTAATCATTACTTTGTCACCGTGAGCTGCAAAAATTAATATTTATATGTTAATAATCTAGCTATATCTGGTTAATTTTATAGTCGTTAATTATACCGAACTTACTACGTCATTGTGCAATAATGTAAATCGCAAATATATGTTTAAAAGCTAGGGATTAGTAAAGTCTTGCGTGTTGGGTTAATTGGTCTCACTTACTCGAAACTCGCCAATCAGGTAGTGCCCTTCCTCCAGATATTTATTGACCCTTGATCTTGACATAAAGGCATTCGTCTGTCGCATGAGTTCGAAGATCAGGGCGTTGGTAGTATAGATCGATTTACCTCCTAGACTTTTCAAAATCTCCCACAGAATCTTGCGCACTAAGCCCGAACTTTCTGCCGAACACTCAGCTTCCAGGAGATAATCCATGCCATCCTGTTTAGCGATACTAGAAAGAGCCACTTCCATGGAATTCTTTAGATTTGATAACTTGGCTCGCTTCACCTCCAAGCCGAGTGTACTCAAATGGGTTGTGGCCCTGCAAATGGCATTTCTGATATCCTCATCCACTGGCTGGTGCATCAGACCGTTGACACCTTCAAATCCCAGTGCATAATGGACCTTGATTTGATTCAATTGAACAGGCTTGTCTAAGCGCAACTTGGCTGATTTATCTTTGCCAGCCATTACTTTGAGTAAATCATTCAGATCTTCAGCGAATCGGGTTATGGGTCCCTCCACCAAGTAGTGCTCGATATTCGAGTCCGTCGAGTTGGGAAAGTGGCCCTTTGTGGATACAACTCCTCCGCTAGGCTTGTGCCCGAAGACACCACAATACAAGCTGGGAATGCGAATTGAACCACCAATATCCGAGCCGATGCCAAAAAGCGAGGCTCCAGCTCCGTTTAGAGATCCCTGCAAATATTTCAAAGTATTTATCAGACAATATAAACATAAGTTTTAAATGTATAACTTACCTCTCCTCCAGAACTTCCGCCTGGCGTCCGTTCAAAATCGTAAGGATTCAGGCAGCGGCCATTCAGCAAGGTATCAGTTTCAATACTAAAGCAATACTCTGGCGTGGCTGAGATCAGTAGGGGAATAGCTCCAGCGGATCGAAGACGCTTTACTGGCTCTCCATCCGCCTGGGCCTTGACCTCCTTGCGGGACAAGCTACCCACGGCAAAGGTCATGCCGCCGAGGGCGCAGGATTCCTTGACTGTGACGGGTAGTCCCAGTAAGGGACGTTCTTCAAAGAGCTTCTCCACATCTGCTGGAGACTCGCAACTGGCTATGAGGTCATCGGCTTTGGCGGCTTCCTCGAGAGCAGCCGAAAATCGAGATTCCACAATCGCATTCAAGTGCGCATTAACAGACTCGATACGTTCGATATAGGCGCCCACCAACACCACAGAAGTCAACTAAAAAGGAAACACAATAATGCCACAAACAATTAAGTTGTGTCATCATTAGGTATTATTTCCAGATATAATTGTCATATTTTTAATGCGTTAGCGGCTTATCGATGTGAACTTTGAACTTTCTGATTAGGAAATCCGTAAATTTGAATGAATTAAAACTTTACAGTCGAAAATTAATATTAAAAGGTATTTGGTTTAAGTGCTTGTAATTACAAATCCATTAAGATTGTGGTAAACGAGGTTTTTATAGCTCCAAATTGTAAATATGAAGGCCATAAGTTTTTAATGAACTATTTTATTATGATGTGAAGTTACTCAGAAATCATTTGTTATTACAAAGTTTTTGAGAAAAATATATAAATAATTCTTATAAAATCAAACAAATATAAGTACTAGTAACAATTCGATTTTATTTACCAAGATTTTTATACCAAATTGTTAAAGTTTCAGAGATTTTGGAATGACATTTTCTTACCTGTCGCGATCGCAAGCGACTGCGTAGCTCCTGGACGCTGAGGGTGAGCAGGCAGTTTCGGATCGGTGGTATGAGGGTCCTCTCTGCTTTTGGAGGATAAACATACTTGTCCAAAAGTGGACAGACGATCGAAGCAATCGCCCTTACGAAGATATCGAGAAGGCGTAGGAATATTTCCATTGCAAGAGCCAGAAGAACCGATCGCGACGAATTCAGGCAAGAAAATGAAACAAAAAGAATAAACAAATCGAGCTTGCCGGCCAACGAAACGGGACAGAGCGATCGTGGGAGAGAGCCCCCAAACGATCGAGAGAGCCAAGCAGAGCGGCTGACGATGGGGGGGGCTGTGTGGGGCGTGATATGCGGGTCAGGGAGAGTGAGCGCCAACAGAAACGCTTAAGTTTACGGGAGAGAGAGAATAATCCCTCTCTCAAGACAGTGGATCAAATAACGCTTGCAATCGGTTGAAATTTTACAAGTTTCTAAAAAATAATGTAGGAAAATTAATGTTAAAATGAACGTTTTTTTTTAAATTAATAATAAATTTGATCTCTAAAGTCGGAAACCGTTTGTATCAACTCTATCAAATTTTGTTAGACCTTAAATAAAATAGAATTCTTTAAATACCTTTTACAGTTTGAACCTTTATTATAAAAGGATATTTTATAAAGCGAACCACATCGTATAAATGTAAGCGTGTGAATTCGAAACGTATTCAATGACTTGAAACATTCTTAGGAATCGCCTGATGTTGTAGAGTGGAAATGGTTTCATCCGCTTTCGGGTGAAGGACGGCGAGGGAAGTTGGCCCGCTGCAGACCTTCTGGTAGAGCCAATGGTTCCGGAATCGCTACATGTTCGTCTTCCGTGGCCACACTTTCGTCTGGAGAATTTTGGGCTTGCTGCGGAACTTCAGGATGAGGTATAGGATCCGCTTGTGAGGCCACCGTAGGTTCAGCGGAGTTGTTAGCTTGCTCGGAATCCCCATCTGGAGGTCCGCGAATGGCTAAAGGCGCCAAGCGACGGAGACGACGCCCGGCACGGCCTCGGCCACGTCCACGTCCTCGTACTTCCCCAACATATCCAGCACGGACATTGTTATTCTCAGAAGCACGTGTTCGAAAAGGTGGCATAGCCGAGTTTCGTGTTTTAATTGAACGGTAAACTACAGAAAAGTCCAGATTAAAGAGGTTTTTTAAGTGTACTTAGTACTAGCCAACTTACCACACTGTTTAAATATAATTAGTCAAACTTAATTGTTAAAAAACGTGTTACTTGTTAGGGCTTTCAGTGACAAAAAAAATTTAAGCGTCGATATACAATTTATGAGTGACCAGGTGGTTGAATTATCGATAAGTATTTATATTTCTAATCGTACAGGAAAGTGATTTTTAACATATCGGAGTGTCCCTTGGAGTCTGAATTACTGAAAATATCGTCAAGGAATCACCCTGATCTTCTTTTTAAAGCATTGTGCTTGGATTTTTGTGTTTTATAGTCATTATTACAATTGATTTGAGTCACAGGGAACATTTTAATGACTAACTATCTGCGGTGTATTGGCGATTTAGTCGTGTGAGAGGACCCTTGAATGCATTCAATACAAGTCAGTGTGAACCTTTAAACCATTTATTTAATTTCTTTGGTCTCACTGGATCTTGAAAAATATATTAACAATTTTGCACACATCATTTTGTAATTTAAAGCCATATTAGGGGACCAATTTTATATAAAATATACACAAACAAATGTATAAATACACACAATTTTTATTTGATATGCGATTGTAACTTCAACTTTGTATAAATGAACTACTAATTTCCAATTAATTCTACCTTTAACCTGAATTAGGATGATCCTGATAATTTTTACTTGGTCTTTACTTCATGTGGCACTGGCGGCACCCAGCCGTGGAATACGGCCTCTAGCTCTGCGGCGACCTTCAGGCAGAGCTTGTCCTGATACTGGCCGGCCACCACCTGCAGTCCAATTGGTAGTCCCCGCTGATTAAGACCCATGGGTACATGGGTGGCGGGCAGGCCTAGGATGTTGAAGAGCAGCATATGGTCGATCCCCGTCACATTCACCAGCGATGTGTGGAAGCAGAGGGCGCTCGTGTGGAAGGTGGGCACGATCAGGACTCCACGGTTGCCCAGGAGTTGCTATTAATGTATCGGATATAATAATAATGAGGTCCAATAATGTTTAGTACTTACATTCAAGTGGGTCTTGATCTTTTGTACTTCCTCCCGATACTGCCCCATGTTTCCAGAGGCCATTAGACCATTGAATCGCTTCATCACCTCAAGGAACATGGCCTCCTTAGTGAAAATCGAGTGCCCGATGATACTGTTGAAGAGCTCTATCAGCAGAAGGCGCATGGAGGGATCGCGATCCGCCCGCTGGGTCACAATGCTGGGTAAACCCTTTAGATCCACTAGTCCCACCAAACCAATCTCCAGAGAATTGCTAAAGAATTTGAGATCCAACTAAATGGTAAATGTAATTAAGAAATTTAAAATTATTGAATAAAGATTTATTTATCTGAAATATTTACCTTTTTGGATTGAACACCACCTTTTTCAAGGCACTGGACGGCTCTCGTGATGGCCCATTGAATCTCGGAGTCCACCACTGGATGGGTGAGACAGTTGAAGCCCGAGTAGCCGTAGGCGTAGTAGACCTAACCCACGAAGAGAATAAATTAAAGGTAATTTATGTTTGATTCACAGAGCTTTCACCTTCATTTCCTTGAGGGTCACTGGTTCCGTCATGTTCAGTTTGTGCTTATTATCCCCCGCCATGATCTCCAGCAGCAGGGGCAAGTCCCGGGCGAACCTCGTGATCGGACCCACCTGCAACATCTTGGCGAACTTCGGGTCTGTTAAGGAGTACGGGAAGTGGCCCTTAACCGAGGTCAATCCACCAGTGGGCTTGTGTCCGAATACTCCGCAGAACATGGCCGGCAACCGGATGGAGCCGCTGATGTCAGAGCATACTCCAAAAGTGGAGGCGCCCGCACCATTCAACGAACCCTCACCGCCCGATGAACCCGCAGAAGTGCGTCGCAAGTCGTACGGATTCAGAGTTCTACCGTAGATATTGTTGCTCGTCTCGAAGCTCATGCAAAACTCAGGATTGGCAGAAACTAAAAGGGGAATGCCACCGGCGGCACGGACAAGTTCCACCACGTCGCCATCCTTGGGCGATTTCATGGTCTTCCGAGCCAGACTGCCCACCGCATAGGACATTCCTGTGAAGTCATTAGCAAATTAAAGACATAATTTCATCAGAAAATGATTAAATAAATATTTCTATTAATTAAAATCTTGGAGATAGATGGAAGAGAGGTTACCTTTAACGCCGCACGATTCCTTGGCTGTGAAGGGAACACCCAGAATAGGATACTTGGTATAAAGAGCCACTCTGTCGAAATCAGACTTTGCCTTAGCGATAAGCTCGTCCGCTAATTTGGCATCCTGCAGTGCAGCCTCATACCGATCCTCGACAACTGCATTCAGGGAGGGATTAACCTCGCGTATCCTTTCAATATAGGCACTAACCAGCTCCACCGATGTTATCTGCAATCGAACCCCGAGCACATGACTTTGCAAATGATCCCGTGAATGACGCAATTGGACTTAGAGACTCACCTCGTTGCGTCGCAATTGGGTAACCAGTTCGACCACCGATTTGTTCAGCAGAGGATTACGGATGCCTGGATACTTGGGCTTTCGAGGGCCCATCGTAAGGTCCAGAATTTTGGTCACCAATATGCCAAAGGCATTTAGAATAAAGGCCATTAGACGCAGAAATACCTCCATGACGACAGCCGACGCGGGTCACCAAAAGGTTGATGGGTATTCAAATCGGTGGACTTCGAGCGGTCGGCGGCGGATGTGGGTTAGCTATAGCTAAGCTATTTGGGGAAGCGGAAGCGGGACCTGGCACTGGCACTGGAACACCACCGAGCGCATCGACTGCGGATCGTGGACTACGCGTGGCGATCCGCACTCGCACTCATTGCCCCCTTTTTTGATTCGAATTTGAATTGAATTTCAAAGCAGTCATTCTCCAACACTAAGGCCACCTGGAGTGTTCTGGTTTCCTAAAGTCAAGCAGTTGTTTTTCCAATGGAATTTTCAGAAAATGTCTCAACCTGACCTAGTGTTAGCGTGGATCTTCAGCACAGAACCGACTCGTGGAAATCCAGATATTTGTTGATGAAATAGCCAAAAAGATATAACAAAGTAAAAACCGGAATGAGGAAATGAAAACAAAGTTCAGAGATCAGCCCCATATGAGTGTTAAACCCCTTTTGTCTCGTAAAAATGCAATTATTCATTCATGTATTTATTTAGTAATAATCTTAGTTATTGTTACACTTATCACTTACGTGCTAAAGGAAACGTTCAACAAAGGCAAGAACTTGTTTTTAGCACATTACTCACTGGAAAACGAATCGACAAAACGCAAATATAACGGTTAACAGAGGACAAAGAGTGTCTAGAATGAGAGTGAACTCAGTTAGGCAACTTGGCAAAGGCGCGAAAGAGACGTCTATATATACGTATAAGTACAGTTGTTGGCTTGCGCAAAAATTGACATCTATGTTTGTGGCTATATGTGTATTGTGTATCTGTGTGTTGGTATGTAGCATACTCATCAAAATCAGAATTATTCATGATTTATTTCCATAGACAATTAATTGGGTAAGGTTTTTGTTTAGGGTTTTCGTATTCTTAAAATCGTATATCTGTATCAGGATTGACATCGATTTGGTTATAGCCTTACAGCGGCAACAGTTCGTCAAAACTAGTGAACACACTTTTTATTATTTGTTACTTCTTATAAAAAACAAAAAAATCGAAATACTAGGTACTCTGTTTGAAAGCATTCGACGAAGTTTTACCGCTGAAGAGCGCTCCAAATTGCAGCTCCCTTAAAGGGTCCAAAGCTAGGTTAGTAGTAATTCTCTGGATTGTTCATGGTTTTTGTTTTTGGCTACCCCATTCATATGTATTTTTTACCATTGATATTATTTATACTGCGGAATAACAAAAAACAACACACTTGCCAATATTCTTCAGGGATATGTAATGAGTGTTATTGTTTCGGGGCCTTCTAGTCTCGTTTAATTTGTTTATTCTTAGGTTACACTATTTAAGGTATATTTTGTTATCATTATTTATTTATCTTGTGTGATTAGCATAGATAGGTTATTAACATTAAAATATTTATTGTCTAAAACATTTCGCCCCGCTTAGTGCCATTCTAGACCTAGATGTATCCCACTGATAGACCCCCCCCCACGAACGATACTAACTAGAGCACATACCTTTGGCTACTTACAAATACCTAACTCTTCTCTCTCCCACCGATTAAATTTTGAATTCAATGAGTGTCCTACGGTTCTACTTGATTTGCCGGTGACCGAGAACCTAGAATTATTCCATTTAGCGGAGCACTTTTGATAGAAAACTTATTGGCCTAGCGGGAGGTTTCTGGGTTAGGATCATTGAAGGCGCCAGGCTCTCGGGGCTCACAAGGGCCTGGTCCTCGCGTAGAAAGTGCAATGCTAAATAGGATTCCTTGGGAGATCCTTAGGTTCAGCCACCGGCCTATCTCAACCATCCTAGATCTCTCTTAAACAACGCTTAGGTCATGTGCAGATCCCCCTTGAGGATGCGCGTAAAGGTCTTCTTAAACTGCTGGTTGGCCAGGGCATAGCAGAAGGGGTTCATCGGGCTGTTGGCGTAGCAGAGAAAGTACGAGAACATGTACAGGTGCTCGTTGGTGCAGGGCGGATTCCTGCAGAAGCCCTCGACCAGGGCCAGGACGTGGTAGGGCGTCCAGCACGCCACAAAACAGCCCAGGATGAACGAGATCGTGCGAAACGCTTTGCGGGCACGATTCTCCGACTTTGACTTCTGTCGGCCGCCCACTCCGATGATCAGGGGCAGGGCCTTCTTGCTCTTAAAGTGCTTGCCTATTGAATGGATGAAGGCTCGCTTGCTGGAGTTACGACTGCCGGCCAGACCCTTCTCCTCCATGGGGGCATCTTCCTCCTCGGGTTCTCTCTTGGTGGTGTCACCTCCGCTGATGCCGCCGCCGCAGCCACCACCCGTACTGCTGGTGGTGCCCGACGTGGATGGCATCTTATTAGTATTGCTATCCGAGGTCTCCCGCTCCTCGATCCGCTCCAGCGGTAGCTGTGGAGCAACTGTCGCCGGGGTTCCCGTCTGCGTCGGCGTCTGGGTCTTTACCTTGGGCGACAGGGGTGGCGGCATTGGAGAGTACAGAATGGCATCCTTGCTGCTCGTCTCCATGGGACTGGAGGCACGTCGGTGCGGGCAGTCCACCACAAGCTTCCCGGGCACGTCCAGCAGGCAAATGGCCTCGATGCAGCTCTCGCGCCTCACCTTGGCAAAGTCCTCGATGCCTGTGTACGAGACGAGAAGACGTTTTTCAATGGCCACCGCCTCCTCGAAACTCTGGCTCTGATTCTGACTCTGGTTGTGATTCGGATTCAGGTTGAGGCTCAGGCTCATGCTCTGGCTGGGACTCTGGTTTTGGCTGGGGGTTTGGCTGAGGATCTGACCGGGATTTTGTTTCGCCGGAGGATTTCTGCGTGCGGGCGGTGGTGGAGGCAGGACAGGTGATGGTTTTCCCTGTACACTGTTGTTTGGCGAGATGCTGGCATTCCCCGCCGCCGAAACACTGGCCAGCATGGCGGAACTCTCGTCCATGTATCGTAGCTCCGAGTTGGTCATCAGGTCGTAGGTCAAGGCCAACTCACTGTTCCCCGAACTGTTGCCGAACGGACGGTCCGAGTAGTCCTCGGACAGCGGGGTGGGACACTGGAAGGCGTCGGGAGGCGGCAGGATGGTCTGCACCAGACCCGGATGCACCTCGTCGCTGGGCACCTCGATCGGCGCCAGATCGACGGGGGACAGGGGGTCACAGGAGCTGGAAGCTGGAGGCACTGGGCCAGGGGTTGTCAGGTCGACCAGGCGATCATGCTCGGCTATTTGGGACAAAGTGGAGCAGGAGGTGCGCTTGGGCCGGTCCAGCGGTGGGTTTGCCGGGTGCTGGTTCTGGTGGTAATGGTGCTGTTTCTGATGGTGCACGGAGCGCACCTCTTCCTTGCTTTGGGCCCGCTGCAACCCGGCACCCTGGTGCTGGTTCTGGTGGTGTTGGTGGTACTGGTGCATGGCCTCGATGGACTTGGAGTTGGTGGTGCTCTTCTGCAAGTTACCTTTGCTCCGGGTGGCCAGCAGAGCCGCCTGGGCACCGAACACCAGTCCGATTGATGAGCGCTTCCGCATGTTGTTTAGCTTCTGCTGGGTGATCAGCTGCTGGGCCTGGTTCACCGAGGACTCCTCGTCGGAGTCGAAGGCGGGACTGCTGGATCGCTCGCTCTTCTCTGCCTCCACGGCAGCCTCTCGCTTCTTGGCCTCTTCCTGGATCTTAGCCGCCGAGGCTCTTCGCTGTTCCGGGGTCATCTTCTCCACTTCCTCCGTGGCCGTGGCCAGGGGATTGGCCTGGCCAGAACCACTTAGCCGCTTGATCACCGTGGTACAGGCACTATCTAGATCAGTCTGATCACCGGCCAGCTCCACCTTGGTCTTCAGAATCTTCTCCTCGATCACACCTATGCCGGCCGCATGGCCTGCCATTCCGGACATTGCTCCCGCACTAAGGGCCACCATGGACTGCATCTTGCGCTGCTTCGCCTCACTGCGTTTCTGCATATCGTAAGCCGTCTTGTAAATTCCGGCGTAGAGCACGAAGAGCACAATCAATGTGGTCCAGTAGTAGCCAATAATCAGGGCGGTGTTAAAAATGGGATCCTTGAGAAACTGCACAGCACACTGGCCGGGCAAAAGGTCACGTTTGCCGGTAAAGTGCTCCCAACCAAAAATCGAGATGAAAAAGAGCAGGGCAGGTATGATCCAAGTGATTGTTACCATGTAGATCACCCGCGTCCGCGTTCTCCAGCTGCGGTACTTTGCCGCGATCTTAACGGAGCAGTAGCGATCGATGGTGATCAGCAGCACCGTGTACTGGGACACCAGGCACACTGTATAGTCCACGGATAGCCACAGTTCGCACAGCATTGGACCCAGGTCCCAGTAGCCCTTTAAAACGTATATCGTGTAAAAGGGCATTGAAACGGTTCCTAAAAACGGAAGAAAAAGAAACATAAGATTTATATATAATATAAAATATACAGGACTATGTGCTCCCTCTTACCTATCAGCATATCCGTGGCTGCCAGCGAAGCAATAAAGTAGTTACTCGGCTGCCGGATGTTTCTGTCCACGATGAAGGCTAGGAGTACCAGGATATTGCCGCCTACCGTCAGGATAATGCAGATAGCCAGACAGATGGCAATGAGGATCGTCTGCCACAGGGCAAAGGGCGGCAGAACAGGACCAAGCACTTCCGCGTCGCCATTTGACTCCGCTAGGGTGGAACTTCCACTAGCAGAGGAGTTATCCCTCAGACCCAGCAGAACGTTGGTGTGGTTCACATCGAAGTTACGGTACCATTGCAGTTGATCGTTCACCGACCAGGAGCTAAAGTCACTGCTCTCGCCATAGATCTTGGCTGCCTCCAGGAGGCGTTTGCATTCGGCATGGGTTAGGACTCGCTTGAACAGGATACTGCACAGCTTCTCGCGTTCCTTGCGGAGGCTCCTAAAAGGGTTGGTAATAAGCTTAAAATATAATAAACCAACTTTTTTGACTTCAAATTATAATTAACAAGAAAGGAAGCTAACTTCGGCTAGCCGAAGTTGAAATACCCTTGCAGTAAGTAAAAAAATAAAAAATAGTTTAAGAGTTTAAGTTTAAGTAAGGATTGCGGTTAGTTTCAGTAAATTTTATTTTTTTCGAAATTCACGTACTAAGCCCCCACACCACGACAAGGTCTCAATCCACGAGGGGGAAATTATAGCTAAATATGAAATATATTGGAAAATTTGTTAATATTTTCAATTTTTTTTATATATTTACAATACTATATTTACAATAAATTCTACTTATAGCCATAATTTGTTAAATAACTTAAGTATACACTCTTACAAGCTATATTTAAAAAAAATACCATCATGATGGCTATAAGGTGTTTTATATGTAAGGGCAACAGCTTCTGGAACTCGAGAGTCAGAAAATATCCAATCAATTTGGGTTTGGTGTTTTGTCGTTGCAGAATTATTCAATGACAAAAGATTATGTCCATTCAAAAATTCCTCCAAAACATCGCTCGCTGAGGATCTGCAGATATTAAAATCTCCTAATATTACCACTTTATTATTATCCATTCTGCGTACTTTTTCAACTTCAGATTTAATTTCATTTCGAAATCTTGCAATAGGAAATCCGGGACTCCTATACACAATTATAAATGACGTGTCAAGATATTTAAAAACAATCGATTGATAGGTTGCTCTGGGACTTGGCGATTTCTTTGTCTCAAAAAGAAATTGCACATTTGACGAAATACTTTGTTTAGCATATATGAGTATTCCGTTTTTCCCAATACCATTTAACCGATTGTTATCAATTCTTCTGATAATGTCGAAATCCCTTAAGTTGTACTCTTCCTGGGGAAGAGTCCAGGTTTCAACAAAACATAAAAAGTTTGCAGAACAAATAATGTTGTCATTGGCAATGTCTTCGCGATGAGCGCGAAGAGACTCAATGTTGTGATAATACATGGAGATGGCATTATCCCCATTGATCAATAATTCATACTGCGTAGTCAAGGCCTTTTCACCTCTTAAGCTTTCTAGCTCTGCTTGGACATTTGTAGCTCCAAATCTAGTTGGAGGAACAAAGTCTCCTAAAAGGAAAAGACCCGATGCGCTTGTTGCTCTGCTGCAACCTACGTAAAGCGAAGCTCGCTTAATGCCCCTTTTAAGGTGCACTGCGACTTTGCTGTAGGTTGCTCCTTGGCTTTTATGTATAGTTATAGCCTCAGCAGGAACAACAGGGAATTGTTTTCGATCAACCGAAGAATGTCCTGAGCTTCCGCATTGGAATACTCGAGCTGTTTTTTCAATTGGAGTCCAATCTGGATGATCATTTCTCCGAACTTTTGACCTGGCCATGGCACCAACTGTAGGATCTGAAAACTTAATCCAAAGTTTTGTTACTAACCTAACGTTGTTTACCATGCAGTTGTCAATCTGCATTAATTGGCCTGTTGCCCCATTTACCAGTCCATCATTTGTATCTATATTGACGGTAACCATATACTTTGCTGTTGTTTTTAGATGCAGAATATATGGCAGTCCCTGGGTTTCGGACGTTTTCATATTTTGGGCATTTCTGAGAGTTGTTTCTTTATTTCTTACTGACATATTAGCTGATTTCACAGTATCTATGGCAGTTGAAACAAACTCTTCTGTGGCGATTTGAGCGAGCTTTAAGGCGTTGTACTGATTAACCTCGTCATTGGAAGCAAATAAGTGGATTGCGTCATCCGGAACGTCGTTTGGCGTGACAACTCTTTGCCTAAAAAGCACCACATCTGCATCTGTCATGTTAGCTTCTGACATGTTATTCAAAGCCAAAGCAAATGCATGATCGTCCCGTTGCCTCATTATTTCTGTTAGCTCGAAATACCTAAAATTACTCCACAGGTTTGTGCCAGCCAGAATGTTATACGGATTTGAGATATTCTCTAGGAATATCCACCGATCTCCTACTGGGCACAGCTGCTTCAGATCTCCAAACACTATAATAGACTTACCGCCAAAAACTACGTCTTGGCTTCTAAAAATTTGTCGAAGTCTTTGATCTAAATATCCTAGCGTTTTAGATCCGACCATCGAGATTTCATCGATGATAATTAATTGGAGGTCTATTAGCTTGCAATGCATTGTGTTTATGGAGTCATTGCTTAAAGGTCTTAAAGGACCTGATGTTTGATTCACTGGAAGTGAGAAAACGGAATGAAGTGTAAGTCCTCCAATTCCAAAAGCTGCTTTTCCAGTAGGAGCACAAAGTAAGACCTTTGCAGAATCCGTTGCTCCCGGTAGCTTATTAGCTCGCCAAGTTATAGACTGATATATAGTTGAAATCAGTCTGCTTTTGCCAACTCCAGCACCTCCCCCAACATATTCATAAAATGTTTTTTTGGCTGCTATATTATGCATTACGTGGGCATAATACTGACGTTGCTTTGCGTTAAGCGACCTGGACAGCGAGCAAAGGTTATCATCAGAAACTAACGGGGGAAGTCTAATTAGTTGAAGTTCGCCATCTTCTGTGTTATTTACAGCATTGTCATCTTGGAGTATATTAACGTTTTGTCCGACGTTTGGTACCGCCAAGGCCCTAAATTCTTCATCTAGATATTGAGAGGCAGGTTCCTGAGGTAGAAGCCCATTATCTTCTCTTTCAAAATTTTGCAAATCTTGAAGAACTCTCTCTAGTTCCATATCATCAAACACATCATATTGCTCTTTGTTGCGCTTAATGATTTCATGATTATTTCTGAATGTCATTTCATTGTCATTCGAAAGAAGTTCAGTCTCTTCATTTCTCCATGGGAAGAAAAGCATTACGTGCTCTCTGAAATAATCAGAAGGGGAAGAGTTTATGCTAAAGCGAACCCATCTAAGAATTAAGGCATGCTTGCGTCTTTTGACACTCCCAGTTCCATCTAGCAGTTGGTAGCTTTGGTTAGAAATGGGATTTTGTTCATTTAGTTCCAAGTCGATCGCTTCATCATAATCTTCGTTGGACGGTTCTGATGGTGCGTTTACCTTGGAAAATTTGTACCAAGCTGCAAATTCTGCAAGGCATATCGATTCTAAGTCTCCATGCCTCTGTACGTACCGATCAAGCAAGTTTTGCTCGAAAATGTCAGTTGAGTTCCCAGGAAGCTGCTCTAATTCTCTATTAGATCGCACTATCCGAACTCTTTTATCTGGATGGCAAGTGTTTACAAAAATATTTCCTTCACTTGCCTCAGACATGTGTAAGCCTAAAATGTTGTAGGCTGCTTCTTGGGCTGATATTTCCGTAGCATTAATAAATTTGCTCCCGAGATGCTGCAACTTTCTTTTTACTGAAATATTTCCATGGCTTATTTCAGTCATGGCTTCTCGAAGCAGTTGCGACACCCCACGGTTCGATTTGTTTATGTAGTTAATTATATAACTACAACAGGCAAATGCATCTAAGATAAACTGTATATCCATGTTTGCCCTATGTAGGCCCAGGATATCCCTGTTATAAGCATTTACCAACCTATCGGAAAATTTGCGGCGAAGAAATACCTGAGGCTTTTTCAAGCTTGATCGGATGGCGAACTTGTACTCTTCAAAACTTATCTGTAGATGGGTAAGAAAGTTTTCAAAATTATTAAAGACGGCTGCTTCTTCATCGGAAGTTGACTTTAAAAGCTCTTTAATTTTTTTAAACATTTCTTTAAAATGTTCAACATTGGGTTCGTTGTCTTCTAACGGAAACAAAACCATTGTTTCAGGCATTGGAGGGTATGGCATTTGAAACCTGCAGAATTCCTGGCCACGCAGTTCTCTTAAACACGAAGAACTATGTTTATGCCGCTGATATTGAATTACTTCTTGCAATTCAGGATCGTCCCCTGTGGTTGTAATAAAACGATCAATGAAACTCACCACTTGATCGGAATTTTCTGGTCCTTCTAGCTTTGGAGCGCCAGAAAACCAATACATTCCATGAGAGTGGGGCGATCCTCTGTGCTGGAATTCTATCCTCCAATAATAATGGACCAGAGTAAACTCGCCAAAAATTTCGGAGCTTTTGAACAATTTAATTAATTGTCGAAACCTAAAGTCAAAGTATCGGGAGCATGTTACTGGGTCAGATCTTATTAATCTAGCTTTTTCGGCTGTAGAAAGAGATGCCGCTTCGTCTTCTGTAATATTTCTATTATCCAATAGACGAGAAAGAGTCACCAAAAGTTCATTCCATTTGGATTCCGCTGCGGAAAAAGTTATAAAAAAAGTAGGCAGCCCAAATTGCCTTATCATAGCTATGACTTTTTTTTTCTCAGCTTCCCAGTGAGCTGGAGCGGATCGAAGACCTTTTAGAATGTGATATCCGTCGTCATGCTGTACAAGGTTGTCAACAAACGAACTATCCATCACATTGGCAGCAGTTACGGAACCTGATTTTTTACGAAGGGCAATGGAGATTGAATTTTGAATTCGCTGCATTTCGTAAAATTTGTACATATAAAGTACCTTAGGTACTACTGCACAACGACGATCGTAAAAACGAATTTGCGATCTTGCTTTTTTTGCGTAGGTGGTTTTTGCTTTGAAAACAGCACCGCAAGAGATTGTTGGGAACGAAAGTTCTTCTGCATCTTCATCGAGGGTTAAATTAGTTGGCAGGCGCCCTTCTCCGGGGGCCAAAGCTATACGTTGAAGAGCAGTGTCATTATTTTCTAAAAGGGTTTCATGACCGCCTGGATTTAAATCTTCTTCTGGTCGATTTAATTGAGAATTGGGTAGTTGGCGTAATAGCTGTTCCACCTCCTCTCGGTCGGCTTCATCTGCGATAAAAGGGATTTCTTCTCGATCTCCCATTTGAGTAAGCCAACTCCCATTAAAAGCAATATTGTGCTTTCTGTAAAGCTCAGTGTTAACTAAATAACGAACAGCTTCAAGGACCCGAGCGGGTCGAATTGTTTCTGTCATGAAATTATGAGAATATTCTAGCTTCCTCTTAAGGTGAACCTGTATGACATGAGTCGAATCAAAGGAACGAGGAAGCGCGTTTACAGTATCAGGTACCGAAATCGGAACATTTACTACTGCACCTCTAATTCCACATTGCCTTTCATATCCTAGGGAGATAATGCGCATAAAAGGAATTCGTGGAGAAATAAGGCGCTCCTCAAGACATGTTAAATTTTTAAGGCACTCGGGGATATCTGGGAAGTCAAAGCCTTTAGAGAGGCAAAGGGAAGGTAATTTACCCTTTGAAACACTCTGACGACATGTGCTGCAAAACTGATATTTGCCGGACGGACTTGGAAATTTCCTACTTAAATAAAATGCGTTGTCAACATCTAAAGCAGGATACTTAGCAGATATAGAAATTTTGTTTAAACCACTTACCTGCGATGGAAACCATGTTCCTCCACAGCATACACAGCATTCAGTTGGTCCATCCTTGATATTCCGTCGATATTGTTCCCTCGCAGTGGCTCGGTTCCTTTGGCGTTGGCGTTCCCGTTGATCCTGTCTTTCATCCATGGAAAGTTCGGCTCTAGAAGCAATATTCCGCTGAGACTGCCTTGCAGATTCAGCCTGGCGATTTTGGGAAATAGACCTGTATGTGAGGAGCCGCTCCTCAGCCATTTCCTGAATTTGCTGCTCCCGAAGTCTCCTCTGAAGTCTGGTGTTCCGATGATGCATTGTGTTCCTTTGTTGTTCCCGTGCCCGAGTTATTGGGTTGTTCCTCGTGATTCTGTGGACCTCGGCGTCTCGTGCTCTCTCGGCCCTCCTATTTTCCTCTTGTGCCCTCCGGTTAGAGCGAGAGAGGGTGTTTTGAACCTGTTGTCGTCGTCGCTCCTCCGAGTCCTGTCTGGCGAGTGCATGCGCTGCAGCATCCCGTGCACGTTCTGGCCCGCGGTTTTCCTCGAGCGATCTCCAGGTAGCCCGAGCCGCAGTATCCTGCGACTGCTGTCGTCGTCGCTCCTCAGAGTTCTGTCTGGCGAGTGCATGCGCTGCAGCATCCCGTGCACGTTCTGGCCCGCGGTTTTCCTCTAGCGATCTCCAGGTAGCGTGATCCGCAGTATTTTGCGACTGCTGTCGTCGTCGCTCCTCAGAGTTCTGCCTGGCGAGTGCATGCGCTGCAGCATCCCGTGAACGTTCTGGCCCGCGGTTTTCCTCGAGCGATCTCCAGGTAGCGTGATCCGCAGTATTTTGCGACTGCTGTCGTCGTCGCTCCTCCGAGTCCTGTCTGGCGAGTGCATGCGCTGCAGCATCCCGTGCACGTTCTGGCCCGCGGTTTTCCTCGAGCGATCTCCAGGTAGCCCGAGCCGCTGTATCCTGCGACTGCTGTCGTCGTCGCTCCTCAGAGTTCTGCCTGGCGAGTGCATGCGCTGCAGCATCCCGTGAACGTTCTGGCCCGCGGTTTTCCTCGAGCGATCTCCAGGTAGCGTGATCCGCAGTATTTTGCGACTGCTGTCGTCGTCGCTCCTCAGAGTTCTGCCTGGCGAGTGCATGCGCTGCAGCATCCCGTGCACGTTCTGGCCCGCGGTTTTCCTCGAGCGATCTCCAGGTAGCGTGATCCGCAGTATTTTGCGACTGCTGTCGTCGTCGCTCCTCAGAGTTCTGCCTGGCGAGTGCATGCGCTGCAGCATCCCGTGCACGTTCTGGACCGCGGTTTTCCTCGAGCGATCTCCAGGTAGCCCGAGCCGCAGTATCCTGCGACTGCTGTCGTCGTCGCTCCTCAGAGTTCTGCCTGGCGAGTGCATGAGATGCTGCATCATTTAATCGTTCCCGCGCTCGGACTCGTTCACTACGCCTTCTCTGAGAGCGTACTGCGGTATCTCGAGCGCGAGCCTCCTGTGCAACCTCCGGATTCACTGAGCGGACAAAGGCATTGTGCTCGGCATTTCGGGCTCTAATTTGCGTAGCATTTCGAGCGTATTGAGCGCGACTTCTCCTAAGTGCGGCTTGGCGACGCTGCTCCTGAGATAAAGAAGATGTGCGTGGCATTTTCTTTTCGTTCCTGTTAAAAAATGGTTAGATAATATGGTTAAATGTATGTTTCTAAAATCTGAAATGTATTAAGATCGATTTTGTGCTCCGGGCCTCCATGTCCTTACTTAATATTGTTCTCATTATATTTCGATTTCCACCGTAGATTCTTTTAGGGGGTTCAGCTTGTGAGATTTAAAACGCCGCTATAAACTTAACGGCGTTTTAAAACTCAAACAAACTATACGCTGAAAAAGCTAATCCCTCTAACGATGGTATCCACAGGAAATCGAAATATATTGAGGCAAATTTTTCAAAACATGCCCAAACCAAAACTTGCTAAAATTGTGGCCAAATTTAACAATTTAAAAACAAAATGTATAACTTACCAAAAATAGTTGTACACTTTTATATATATAGAGATATATATATACACACACACACACACACTATTTGTCTTTACACTGATTAAAAGTATACATTCACACAATATAAAAATACTCGATGCACTGGTATATGTTGTCACTGTCACTGTCGTGATAATACTAATCCGCGGATTATAAATGTGCGCAAATAAATAGGCACCTTATATTACCTGTTAACAACCTTTAGGGTTAACCCTTTTGACTCTACTTCAGGTATATATCAGGTAATACGATTGGTTATGCAATTGTGCAACATTGAACACGTGTTATGTTGCTAACAGGTATCAAATTATGATTTAAGGGTTATGCGAGGGCTGCATTTATACCTGATACCTGTTTGCTTATGCAATTGTGCAACATTGATCACGTGTTATGTTGCTAACAGGTATCAGGTTATGATTTAAGGGTTATGCGAGCGCTGCATTTATACCTGACACCAACTTCAGCATGTATCCCTCGAATGTTACCGTTTCTTAACTTAATAACAGGTGACAGATATATGTATATCGGGTCTGAAATATTAACCTTTGCGATAACCTTTTAATTTTATTGGAGAGTCTGCAATTCAGCAGAGGCTAAGAGAAGTCAATTGCCAATTGCAGAATTGGTCAGATATATCTTACATCAGCTATATATGTAAATTCAAAACATATTAGTAATATAAAAAATGTGAAGCCCATATATGAAATACTAAAAAAGTATTAATTTATATTCAAAATATTAATACGCCCTTTATAAAATATAGTTGTCGGATTTTCATAATATCAATATTAAAATTTTAGAATCCTAAAAATGCCATACTCGAAGAATGTGAAATATGTTGATAATTGTCGAAGTTCGACTTTTTTCTTGTAATTCTTCGATCGTTCCTATGGCAGCTATAATATATAGTCGTCCGATTTTCATAAAACTAAATATTACATTTTAAAATAATACAAAATGGCCATATCTCAAAAAAGATAAATATTCGTTGAAAAACAAAGAAGTTATAATTTTTTTCTATATATAGTTGTTGATATAGTTGTCCGATTTTCATAAAATTAAATATGAAATTATAAAATAATACAAGATGACACTATCTCAAAAAAGATAAAAATTCGTTGAAAAACAAAGATGTTGTAATTTTTTTCTATTAATTTCCGGATCGTTCCTATGGCAGCTATATGATATAGTCGTCCGATATTCATAAAATTTTTACCAAAATTCAGGAATAATATAAAATGGTCATATTTAAAAAATAGTGCAAATATGTTGAAAAACAGCAAAGTTATAATTTTTTTTCTAAAAATTTATCAAACATTTGTATGGCAGCTATATGATATAGTCGTCCGATCCGGCCCGTTCCGACATATATAGCAGTGAGAGCATATAGAAGACTATATGCAAAGTTTCATTCAGATAGCTTTAAAACTGAGGGACTAGTTTGCGTAGAAACAGACAGACAGACAGACGGACAGACGGACAGACAGACAGACGGACAGACGGACAGACAGACAGACGGACAGACGGACATGGCTAGATCGACTCGGCTGTTGATGCTGATCAAGAATATATATACTTTATAGGGTCGGAAACGTCTCCTTCACTGCGTTGCAAACTTCTGACTGAAATTATAATACCCTGCAAGGGTATAAAAAACAAATGTTGAAAAAATTACGTATCCGTCTCTCATACCCTTAAGAAATATTACGTATCCGCCTAGTTGAACTAAAATAATAGGTTTCAATTGCAAAACACTTCAATCCTTGTATTATTTTAAGTATTTACTTAATATTGATTTCAAATATCTCTTACTTAGTTAAGAAGGAACCCTCTATTATATTAAGCCAACTCACCAGTCGGTTATCCACTGGTTCTTGATGGAATAGATGGAGTCGCTGGAGTTGCCATTGAGGCCAGCCTCTTCCTCGCCGCCCTGGAGGCCCGTTGACTTGTTGAGCGACCGCATACCCTACAGCTCTTCTCTCCTTGCCACTCCTCACCACTCCTGGTCCTGTTCCCGCTGCCCGCTCTCCACTCCACTCCCCCGCTCCTCTGCGGTCTTAATGGTAATTTCAAGTTGTTCCTCCTTAATGTGCTGCTGTCGTCAACGTTTGTCCCCGAATGCTTACATTGCCTCCTCGGAATGGCAGGACTTGTCTCCGGTCAGGTGCAACGTCTGCAAGAGGCAACAAAAGCGGCTCTTAGGCAAGGCCTGCACTGGGAGAAAATAGATTAAGTTTAAACTAATTATAAATGGAAATGGGAAAAAAAGGATATCCCATTAATTAAATCCTAATACAAGCGAAATAAAAAATTAATTTGTAAAATACTTAATTATTTAAATACTTTATAGTGCATTACAATTTTTCTCTGTGTTCACTTGGTGACTGTCTTGGCTTCCGCCAAGTTTAAACTAATTTTGCAACCGTTAACTGGCAACCGGCGACTGGCGATGCAATTTACTTGTGGCAGTTGCTTCCTGGCAACCTTTCCGCCGCGCCTGCCCATGCCCCCTGCCCGGTGACCCGCCTTTGTCCTGTCCTACTACTCTGTTATGTTGCCTCATTATGTTATGCCATGATTTGCTTATGGCTCTGCCACTTGAGCTTCGAGTGGCCTTCGCCCGGCGTCGCCTTCTCTATGTCTTTTTTATCTCGTGGCCCTTTCAGTGATTTTCTTGACTTTTTCAATACCTTAGGGTATTATAATATTGAGATGGACAGTTGGTGAGGTGAAACTTTCGACACTTTAAATAAGGAACTAAAGGAAAGAGTGGGATATATATAAAATAAAAGAGCGAGAATCATTATGTTAATTAAAAACTTATCATCTAAGAAATTATTATACAATAACGTCTCTGTAGGGTGTTCTGTGTTTCAAACGTTTAGTTCTCTGGTCCCTATTGATGTTATTTAAAACTAAATACTCGTATTCACAGGCAGGGCAAACTTGCTTCCGGCGAGGTCATCGGGGGCCCAGAGGCTGGCCAACTTCTTGACTGTTGCATTTGGCCCGAGGAATCCACCAAAGTTCTGCTCTGCCTTTACCCTTGTTTGCTATTTTTAAGACGCGAGGCAGGGGACCAGAAGGTTTATATATAAAGTATAAAGCGACGGGGTGAAATTGAGTTTTCAACTTTTCAAATATAATTTCAAACAAATCGATAGGACAAACTTGTGGAGCGCCTTCTTGGCAGGCAAATTCCACAAGAGACAATCAAGTTACCCGGCGTTCCAGGTTGCACGCTGCAGGTTGCAGGCTGCCACTTGAAAGTGTTGTATCCTTGTATCCTGACAGCACGTCCGCTGGCACTTTGATTGAGTGGAAATTGAATTAGTAGAGACAATTTGTTTTCATTTAATTCCCAAAACATTGCCACAACCAAGATATATACCCGTAACCTAGTTAGTTTGCAAGAAAAGGTTGCCTCCTTAATCCGTCAACACATGCGACAATCCCAGGCTGACAGCTGTCAGGATCTGTCGCCGCCGGTTCTTGTCATCGAGGGCAGCCCGAAGCGAGGCCAAGCCCAGAAACCAAACCCAAATCAAAGCCCGGTCCCAATTTCTATGCTAATTGAGGCCCAGCCCCGTACGGGTTAAGCGCTTTGATTGCGTGAAGTTCTCGCCAGAAAGTGCCTAAATCTTGAAATGGGTTGTGTCTGAGACCCACAAAGGTTGCCAAAAAGCATTACAATTAGCAGGTGGTCACAGGTGGGTATTAGAGGGTTATTTATAGAGTCATTTGCCAGGAAGACGCTTGTTTATAATCCAAAATGAGTGCTATGCTATATTTATAAGAACAGAATAAGTAAAATTATGACATGAAAAGAAAATCTTAACCACAAAACAATTGAATTGCAATCTATGCGATATTTGCTTTTAATATATAAGCTTTTGATTGTGTTCTAGTAGGTAAACCAATAACCCCACGGCTCGACTAGCTCTGTTCTTCTAACAATGCCATAACTATGTCGTAAGAACCTTTTACCAACTCCCAGTGGCACTCAAGCGGCATTCTCGCCACACAACACGTGAAGTAATAATCCCGCTTAAGGACCTTAAGCCTTTGTCTAGTTGACCACCGAGTTGGACGGTGCTTTTACTGCTCCTGTACCCGCACCCACTGCTTTTCCTAGAAGTAAAAGACTCCCCAGTTGACCGCACAACAAAAACAGAAGGCTGTAAGATCAAAGCGTTGATCTGGCGGCTTGGAGGAGGTGAGGAATTCCTCGCAGTTTCCGGTTTCCATGGAAACTTTAAGCTTGAATAAATACACTAAAGGAAAACCCAGAGTTTAAAGACTGAAAGCGTGTTTTTAATAGTTTTAGTTAAACCAAAGTTAAATTTATTAAATTTTTTATTAAAAAAGAAACATCGTAAAATTGTATATTTTAAAATTTTAACTGTCAAGAGAGCATTCAATATTAGAATATCGCTTTTATCGAAAAATATCCCTAAAATGTTTTTTTTTGTATGGTGTATATATCGATATTGTCTTTCGTCTTTTTATTCTCTTTAAGTTGCTATTTTTAATAATATTTAAAAATATTTTAGAATAATTTCTCACTGTACTGTGCCACCAGTACTGTGGTCTGTTGCATTCTTCGCCTTCATATCTCACATCTACCTGCAACGGACGTTGGCTTGAGCTTAAAACAGAATCGAGGTTGCCACACGAATGACACAAGGCCTGAATGGCGGATATATCCTCAAAGCAGGCGCTGGGGCTTTCAGCGGGGTGCTAAAGGAGCTACTGGGTTTCCAGCGAAGCCGTTGGCTTTGTTTGCACAACTCAAAGTTGTTGGCATTCTTGGCGTGCGCTCGGAAAGTGAAATATGTACGCAATGTGTTTGCCTGAATGGCAAAGGATTCCAGGGAGGTGGTAGTAGGGGAAAGGCAAGGCGGCACCTTAAATCAGCAATTATGTCGCGCAACTTTCGCCCCCCGCCCCCCTTCCAGGCCAGGTGTTCCAGGGAGACAATAAAAAAGGGATTGAGATCTGGGGTCCTTGTTAGATAAGATTTGGCCCGTTCTACCAGCGAGTGAGCTCGCGCTTGTTGCCATAATAACCCGCTTTTGCCTTTTGCCATTCTTGCTTTTTTGCCTTTTAATAAACTTATTAAATGTGTAAGCCAGCCGTTGTCCTTGCCACTGATGCTTCCTTTTACGCCGCATCCTATCCCTTTTTTTTTGTTGGCTCTTATTTGGCAAATAATGAAAAGTAATTTAATCAAGCCAACAAAAGGGCCACGAGATTCATCAGGAAAAATAATGAAAGTCCCAAAATTTGATTGGCCCTTGACTCGGGGCGGCAATTCTCGTTCAATTTTTTTTGTTAAGATCATAGGGGCATCCTTGCTGGACAGGACTCGTGGGCTCGCGTTAATTGCCTGCACAAAGACCCTGCAGTTTTCGGTTAGCACGGCTTCCAATCATGCGCTAATATCCTTTGAAGGCTGCATCCATAATCCCCCAAAGGTATGGACGACAATGATGACGATGATGCTGGTTTGGCATTCTGGAGCGTCAAAAACTGTCAACGGCAATGGCATTCTTTTGTGCCCAAGCCCCGGCCGCAGATTATGATTTTGACAGCATTCTCTGGTCACGGCGGCAAAGAGGGGGCGAAAATCTGAGGGTGGAAAGCCGGAGGAAAATGGCCAGGGAATAGAAGGCTATGTGCCGCATAATCAACTTGTGCAAGTGCGCCCGGCAAGTTTTAATTACAAAACGTTCAGGCTCTTTACTCTACTTCTACCATTGCCACAGCCACTTCCATTGCGAGCTCTGTTCCAGCTTCTGTTTAATTCATCTACGTTCTAGGTTCTAGATTAACATTCCCCACTTTTTTAGCTGGCTGCCTTGGCTGACTCCCTGGGAACTACTTGGCACGCGCATTTTAATCAAAGTAAAATTTTAAATAAATATAAGAGACGACGCGCAACGTGATGAATAATTTTGGGCTGCGACGCTTTGTCAATTGTCTGGCTCACATGGGCAATTTCAATTTCAGCTACTTTATCAGGACGAGAAATGTTGGTAGTACAGTTGAAAGAATTTAAACATAATGGGGTTTTTATAATTATAATTTATGTTAAAAATAAAGAATGCCAAAGAAACAACAATCTATTTAACTTATCCAAAAATTTGCTAGTAAAATATTGCAAAATGTAAAGCAATGATAAAAAATATAAGAAATTGAACTTCAAACGTAACCTATTGATATTTTTTCAACGTGTGCTGGTAAGAAGTGGCTTGTGTGGAGGTTGGGAGGTAGGTGTTCCGGTGGTGGGTGGCTTGTCTTGTTGAATCGGTGGCTGCATCAGACTTGTCCTTGACACGCTTGCTGCATGCCAAATGAAGGTTGGCTCGCTTCCTTGCCGCAGCGAGTACTGAAAAGCGCTTTTTCAAGACAGCCAGAGACCGCAAATCGTTCTCAGAGACTGTTGCGCGTTTACTTTTTGCACACCGACAAAACGCAAACACACACATACGACACACGACACACACATACACTCATAAGGGAATGCACATGCAAATTTAACGAGCGCCAATGGCAAAAATTGCGCCCCAGGCCACTTAGCGTTGTCTTTTGTGGCATGTGAAAAGCACACACAGCCACATACTGTGTCCTGGCATATATGTATGTATTCATGCATGTCGACAGCCTCGTTTATTGCTGTGCAATCTGTTGTTGCTTTTATATCCGGCAGCCAGATAGCGAAGGCATAAAAAAATCCCCCTTGGGCACAACAACAAAATGGTAAGCGACACTTGCTGCGCGAGCATCCAGAAGTGCTGAAAATTCTCAAAAACACTGCCGGCTCTGCTGCAGGAAGGTGCTAGAGCGTAAAATCTGCGGCTTAGAACAGATGGATTTTCAACAGATCGATTAAGTTGGTAAACAGTGTCTGTTTTGTTTGGGTTAACTGAGCGAAGTGAGAAGCGCAGAGAAGGGCTTGACAAGAAAATGGCGGGAACTTTGTATTTATTTAATTTTAAGTGCCATGTTTTCATTTCTGATGAGTGGAGGGAAAGCTACTTTAAATTTACTTTAAATTAGGAGAATTAATTAATTGATTGCCTTGATTAAGAAGCGTAAAACTACTAACAAGTCAGACTTAAACACTAAACATGTAAAGTTCA